AAATGTCACATACTTTTGCATTCACATCTGATATAACTTGTACCAGGCCAACAATGTAGCTACTATACTTATATATTTTTGTTTATCTATGGGCTTTAGGCGGGATATGAACTGAACTATGGCGATTTGCAACAGCTGACCTAAAGACATTCACGCTTACTTTCATTTACTAGGAGCAAAATAAAACTTACTGTTTCATTTTTCTTTTCAGATGTTTTTGTATGAGATGTAGAGCAGGTGAGACATTGGTACGCTGCCACACTTTTATACAAACTGACATTAATTTAAAGAAGACATGCATTTTTCAACTACTTCAAATTTAACTCTACCGTAGATCATAATTTTACATTTTGTTCTTTGTAAACCACAATATTAATCTATAACATAATAAATCATAATAGAAACAGGACCAGTAACTTCATGTTAAAAACTTCAGCACTGACAAGCCCTGCCCCCTCATAATTTCATAGTTTTTCTGTAACAAGCAGCAAATGTTCATTTACAAGTCTAATATGCAGGACAATGGAGAATAACTCAAACCTGCATGTACCAATCGAAATGCAACTTTGTGTAAGCTAATGATGAGGGAACACCATTACAACAAGGTTAAAAGTTCATTAAGGCTGATTTTGCATAATATGTCTATTTAAGCCTTGACTTAATACCTTGCTAATACAACAGTAGCTGTATTATTGTCTTGATGCAGGTATAACTTGCTGAATGACTGAAAACGTACCGCTGCCACACTCAAGTCTGTGTGTGTGTCTTCAAATGTCACTTTCAATATAAATACCATATACGTTGTGTCGTATGTCAACATTGCTGGTGAGATTCTGTGGATTTTGTCTATGTGGTGAGATCAGAATATGGTGGCCAATATCAGTGTGCATATTGCAGTGAAAAGGTTATGTGGGGGCTGTCACTCCCACAGGTAAAGACAGAGCCGTCCTCCTAGCCACTTTCTAATCTGTCTTTTATTAGAAGTTAATATCTCGCCTGCTCTTTCTCACTCCACACTCCCACCTGCTTAGAAATGGCCCCGCTCCATCTTTTTAATTCAATTATATTAGCCATCCTCTCTCTCCTCTTCCTCTCGCTGTGCCCATAACTCCAGAACTCACACCCAGCCTGTTCCCACCTCAACCCTCCCTCTTTTGTCCTCAACTCTTCTATTTCTATTCATAATCCGAGATGGAGGATAGTCTCGGGCCAATGAAGGATTTGCTAAAGCCACTCTTTCTTTCTTTCTTTCTTTCTTTCTTTCTTTCTAGTGCTTTAGTGGCAAAAACACAGGACATAAAAAGATGGCGGGAGGAGGAGGAGAGAGAGGCCAGCAGACCCCAGGGGCGAAACTTTGATTGCTAAAGTAATGAGACTTGATCAGATTGAGGTTTCTCTCAATAGGGGTTCGACTAATATGAAAGTCGAAGGCTTAAGCACTCATTTGAAATAAAATCACAAATCTGATATTCTTTCTTCCGGACCTCCAGCTAAGGTCCTATACTCGCCCACTGGAGAATTAAATCTTCACTCAAGCCACATGGGAACTTTTAATCATTTCTGATAGGCATGGGCTGGGAAATGAGAGAAAAATCATAGTAATGTATTAATTATGTAACAATATTATGGAGTTCTGAAAGTGGGCACAGAGCCAAAAAGACCTTGGGCTTCATTTGTGAGAAGTGGTGATTTTGAACCAGCTGATGGTTGGATGGTCCAGACAGTACTGATTTAACTTAGACTTAGACAAATTTTATTGATCCACAAGGGAATTTATATGGACACAGTAGCTCACTTATCACAATATAATATAATAACAAAGAGCACAAATATAAATGGTAATAATACATTCTAAATAAGTAGCAAAAATAGCAAGAGACTGGTGTCAAATAAGGCATAATTATATAATTTAAAATGTTAAATGACTTGGAATCCAAATAACTCTAGAGCATATTCGTTATTCTACCCCATTCTTCCCTGGCTTTATTCCTTGAAGAGTTGCCACAACAAATGATCTGCTTCTTGTAAGACATCATTCATGCATTGATTTGTCATCTGTTTTCTAGCAGATGCCCTTCCTGATGCTAACTTTAGCCCTGTCACAATAATTAATATATTGATTTACTGTTAAATATATGAAAGCTGGAACTATATATTTTTGGGTTCAATATTTATTGTGATATCTTTGTCTTAGTACTAGTGGGAAAATTATTATTATTTTTCTGTTCTACTATAAGATTTAAGATGTAAAAGGTTGAATTAATAACTTCTATGACTCATTACAGACTTTAATGTTTAATTTTCACTCATGATTTTTTAACAGTATTGTACATTAAGAATATTTTTTGTTTTAAATCTGTTCTTGGGTTTTTGTGTCATAAAATAGATTCAGTATTATCGTTTATTGTCTATATTCTTTTCAGCGATATATCGTACTTCAGAATGTGTTATGTGACAGGCCTAGGGGGATTAAATACCTTTGCAAGTTTGATACAAAATCGTGTTGACATTTATTTTTATACATTTGCTCATTATTTTATCTGTCTCCCATCTTCTCCATGCCTAACTTCTAAAGCATTAAAATGCATGGTTCTGGTGTTGTGAAACTTATTTAATTTCCCAATAGTAAGTCTGAGATCTGTGGAACAGTCAGATAAAAGTATAATTAAATTCGGTGTCACAACACTGGATGCCTCACAGCTTGTAATTGTTCCAGCCATTAGCTATAGTTTGGATGAGTCGAGTCCATAAAAGAGAACCTTTAGCTCAGTGCTACAATACATTTGATGATATATGCACTTTGGTGGAGTGTCTGGAGAGCAGAGGCAGTGGCTGTGACTGTGCCAAAGCAGAAACACATAGACAGATACTAATGCTGCTGCTCATTTTAAGTGTGAAAAATGCACACTTAAAAATGACCAATTCCTTTTATTAAGCCTATTTATTTTTGTCATGAAAAGGTCACTTATGTTGGTCAAATATGCTAATGTTAAGGTGCCAAAACCCAGATATTAATAAATACAAAAACTTGTACAATAACGCAAGTGTCACTCAAAAAAGAAGGATACTTTTTGACCTTTTCTGAACAGTGTTTATTTTGATCAGAAGTAGTAGGTATAAGAATTTATTTCATATTGTAATTTTCAATCTATTGTCTAAAATTGTTATGATGACTGTGTTTGTGTGAGTTTGAAATTTTTGTATCATGACATATTGTGACTTTCCACTGTCAAAGGCAACGGGAAAATAACTGAACGAGAATGTTTGAGTCTAGGTATCATTACTACTACAAGCTAAGACCAGCTTTTGCAGACATCTTTTGCTTAAGTTTTGTTCTATCTCTCAATCATCTAATAAAAAGTTAATAATAATAATAATTAATTAAATAAATGTGTGTCCATTATTATTTCATTGACAGATTTCTTTGTTTATTTCCACGGTTCACAGCACAGAACTGTATGTATTAATATGTGTTGTCTGTATAAGAGGCCTCCTATCTAATCTAACACAGGACTCATTTAGAGCAGTGCTAATGAATAGAGGCTTTGATTTGGGAAAGGACTTGTACAGGCCACACGCGCTCTCTCTCTCTCATGCACCGGGGTGAGGAGTTCAGCGCGTGTCTGCTCCAGTAATCACAAGACCGCTAATTTATTTATGTTTTTGGTTTTGAAAAGTCCAACTAATACAATGTTGAATTCAAGTCAATATTCACTGCTTGGTCTAACTCTAACACAACTCAATCATGTGATCTCCAACCACTTCTAGACTTCTGATAAAACTCATTGTGTGAACTATGCAACAAACAAAACTGAGAATAGTGTAAAAATGTGTAAAAAAAATACTAAAAACAAAAAAATCTGACTTTTTTTAGCTTTAAATCCCCAGACCCTAAGATTTTATCATCTTCCCTTTACTATTTCTGTTTTCCATTAACAGTTGTGGGTGGCAAAAGCCTGACAACCGGCTATGAGTCATATAGGCAGGCTTGACTTTGGACAGTGGTGTTTCTAACAAAGTCAATATTAAAGGTCCTATATTATGTGAAATAGACTCTCGTGAGCTTACATGCCTGGAGTTGTGTTTTGTTTCATTCACACATGTTTGAGTAATCCTGCATTATTAAGCTGTCTACATCTCTAAAGCTCAAAATGCTCTGTTCCACCTTGTGATGTCATGAAGCAGTAGTTTTAACAGCTACCTTTTCACCTTCTTTTTTAGTTCATTAGAGACTGGCAATTCTAAGGCTAAAATTATGGTTTTAGTGGTTAAGGGTTCTAGTGAAGGTGTATGGAGTTTAAAACACAGTGGATTACCACATGACATCATAAGGTACAGTATTTTCTGACAGAGAGAAGGACTCAGCCTAAATACGTCGAGCTTTTGTGTTAAAAATGTGTGAATGAAACAAAACACAACTCCAGGCATGTTTTTGATGAGGAAACAACATTAAAATTGATCAGAAAATTGCATAATACGGGCCCTTTAATATAGTGACTTACTTTCCACTTTAGATATCTTGTCTTGAATTCACATGACATTCTTCATGCACAATTGCTTAATCAGGCTGTCTCAGTGGCATTAACACATTGGAAAAATATGTGGGAGAGGTTATCTTACAAGGACAATGAATCTTTAGAAATTGCCTTAACTTAAAGGTGGACTCTGTAACTTTTCTGGTGGAGGACCTGTTAAATGCTTGTCTCCATGGCGATGTTATTGCTTTGTTTGGAATGCTCCACAGTCTTTATGGAGACCAAACCAGACCAAGTCACAGGTCACATCTGTGAAGAGGCGACCCCTCTCACAGTTAGAATGCCTGTTTTTCTAGGCAAGTTTGAACAATAAAAACACCTGTAATTGAATAAATGTAAGGTTGAACTGTCATACTGTGGAACATTCCAGAGAGAGCAATGACTTATCTATAGGAACAAGCAGGTTACAGCATATATATAATCCATATGATAAAATGCCTGTCTCTCCCTGTGTGTTTCCTATAGCTGAAAGCCCATGAAGAGCATGTGAGGCGTGTGGACCAGGATGTGGTCACTCTCCAAAGCACCGAGGACTCTCTGAAGAGGACCTTAGCCGTGAAAGAGAAACATGCACAGGCACTTTCCCAGGACAATGTACTACTCAAAGAGCGGATAGCTACTCTACAGAACCAAGTATTCAGCTCTTACACTCCCAGGCACATGCACACACAGCACAGCACTACTTAAATAAGAACAGGATTGGGCAACCTTTTCTAAATCAGATCCAGTCAGGTACATGTGGGAATTGGGATCATTTTTTTGACTTCCTTCACAGTTAATCATTCTTCTTTCTTCCCCTCCACCCACGCCTTCTCGTTCTCGCCCTCTCTCCATATTTAATAACTCATCGCCACCGTCTTCGCTCCGCAGAGGGTTGGCTCATTGTACAATAAAGCAGCGTGTTCATATGAATATCACTTAGCAAGAAAGAGGAAGAACAAGGCTGGGGGAGGGGTTAAAATCTGCTTTTGTTATTCGCTTTGATTCACTCATTATTTTACTTCAAATATTTGTTCTGTGTTTTGTATCTGGCGTCTCTCTTGTCCAGTCTGGCCCATGCTGCGATGAGAAGCAATGGTAATGAATGAGGACATTAAAGAGTCATAGGCGTGATGAATTGAATGGCCTTTAGGTTTCTTCTATGTCCATCCCTTTCTTTTTCTTCTAATTCGCTCGCTGTGTTAGTCTCACTGCTCATCGCCCTGTAGGAATGCTTGGTGGAAGTGATGTGTTTTAGGCCTGTATTAACCCATTTACCGTGTCCTTGACCAATCTGACTCATTTATTTGCCATTGGTGGTTTATTGCAGCCGGGCCGGTCGACTAAATGAAATACTTTCACTGTAAAAGCATGTAAGTTACTCGAGTTAAGGAACACCAGGACACTCTAATAGAGACTAGCTTATTACTTCCACTAGAACTAACCAGAATAGATGGACAAAGTGATAATGTAGTGTCAATCTTCCTGAGAGACATGCTTGTATAGTATATAACGCACTATATAGCTATATATATAGGAAACCCTGTGACTCTCTGGAGCCCAATAGTGACCACCCACTTAGAGGTAATTTTTCCCCATTCATTTTTCCCATAGACAGAGCTTGAAATCTTGCTGAGGGCTTATCACCAATGTGGCAACTAATGACCGCAAGACCTATACATTTAATTTGAAATACTGTTTCTTAGGCCTGTATCGACTTATCATTCAATATACAAAAGCTGTAACAGTGTTTTCTGAGAGTCAGTATTTGTCATCTGTACTTTTTCTTTGCATCACTGGGGGATTTTGGTTATTTTTATAAGTTTTATGGCATAAAAGATTGAATTAATAACTTCTATGACTCATTACAGATGCAGATGAGCTACAGTAGCATAAATTATCAATTACCATCGATATTTACTTCATCAACATATCGTACTTCAAAATTTGTTATCAGGACAGACCTACTGGTTCGGAAGCAAAGTAATTAAAACTGTAGAATTTTAAGTATTGCATTTTTTGACTCTCCACCTTGCTGATTAGCTTATGCCTTTGAGGAAAATTTATGAGAAATTTTCTTCCAGATCCTTGACGGGCTTTGACTGTTGAGCTCCACTGTCAAGTACTCACCCCTCCTTACAATCTCTTACTTTACCAGTGACAAGTGGAAGCGGAATAGCCTTTTTTATATGTTGGAAATACCACATACAAAGTTAAGACCAAAACTGAGTAAAGAATATTAAGCAAATATTAAAAGTTGGAGAAAAAAAAAATCCAACTAACCTTACCAAACACAGGGCAAAATTCTAAAGATTATTTCTTAAGATGTCCAATGCCCTGTCTATTAGAATTATATTGTTCAGTACATTATTTTGTATTTGTAACTAACTACAGGCGAACGCTTGTTTTTATTGACGCAACAAAAGTGTTCTAACTTGGGTTAACATTCTTAGCTTTGGATTTGCATTTGAAAAGCTAAAGATAGTGTACTACGACTTTATGTTGTGTAGTCATGTAGTTTTATTGGTCCTGAGACAAAGTGGTAAGTGTAGGGCTCCCCAGATTAACACAAAGCTTTTATGACGCTCCCATCCAATGCTATGGAGACCAGACTGGGCCAAGCGTTCCTAATTTACACTTTACCATCTTGTCACGTTATTTTCTTTTTGAGTCCCAACCGTCCCTGTCCATTTTGGAAAGCTCTGACAACTTCAATATTTGTTTGTGTTTTTTGCTTTTAGTTGCAAAACAGTGAATGTATGGTGAGTGAAACAAGCAAGTCCCTGGACGAGGTTGGACATAATCTGGAAAACGAAAGAAGAGAGAAGGAAAAGATACAAGACCTTCTTCTAACTGCTAACAAAGAGGTGGAGCGTCTAGAGGAAGAACTAATTCATTTGCGCCTGAGCACTGAAAAAAAGGTAAATTGGTTTCTTCCCCAAGGTCTGAATTCAAATATTGCTTTACAAATTCAACAGCAATGTATTTTACATATTGAAGAAAGCGTGTTTTACAACTTGTGAAACAGAGTCATGGCCAAAGGAAATGTCTTTAAGCTCTGCGTTTTTCCACACAACTTAAAACTATACAATTTTTAGATGAAATGTAATATTCACTTTAATGTAATGCATTGTCTTTCCCACAATGGAGCTGATAAGAGGGGTTGTACAGGTGATGGATTCATTTAAATATTCAATTTCCCTATGCAATATTCACACTGACAGGCATTGTCTATTTCTACAATAGTGCAGATAATAAGGTTTTAGATAATGGGTAATGGGATGGTCTGATATTTAGAGTCTTATTAAATGCATACACTTTTGATGAAGAAAAGCCTTTCGATTATTTCTCTTAATTTCTTCTTTCCGTCTGATAGCAACAGTTCTCATATTCATATGCTGTGCTGCTCTTTAACAAGCCCTTTTGATTCTAGGCCCAAGGAGTGTCTTATGAATAGTGGTTTGAGTTTAACCTTCAATTAGCTAAGGTTGGAGAGATACTCCACACCAACATTAGTGATTTACTTCATAATTAAAATTACAGCAGTTTGTGAATTGTTTCAATATACAATACTACATGCAATAATTAGCCATATTCAAAACATGGTTAACAGATATCATTATGACATGAGATTATTTACATACAGTATGGATTCATAACAGCCACTTAAAGCAAGGACAGTGACAATTGTGACTGAAGTAATGGTAGTTAAGGAATTTAATGGAAGTAAGTAATGGAAGTAATAGAAGCAGTAGTAGAAGAAGTAGTAGTAGTAGTAGTAGTAGTAGTAGTAGTAGTAGTAGTAGTAGCAGCAGCAGCAGCAATGATAGTATTTGTTTTAGTTGCACAAACTCAAAAGTACTTTATGTCAAGCGCTTTAAGCCATTACGTGAGAAATATCTATGTCCTACTTATTGTTTTCTTGTAACAATATCTTTACTTGAGTGCTTCCCCACTTCAAATACATCTTAACTTATTTTAATTAGCATAAATAATTGTGTATATGCATTTGCTGGCTGGAGTGTGGGTTTGCGTTCCATCTCTTATGTTTGGATTGGTTAAGTCAACCTATGGATCATTACACAGTGCTGGGGGATCTGGTTTCTTCTGCACATCTGGTCCTGCTTTAGAAGCCCAAGAGCTGGCCGTCTGATCTGCGCACACGCACACACGAACACACACACACACACATACACAAATACTATATGGCTTTCCATGCTTTTTGAGGACAGTATGTAGACTTACGTTCATTTCCTGGAGACTGATCCTAACCTTAACCATAGTTACTTAACCTAAACTCTAATCTTAACATAATCTAACTCATATCTGAAGTTAAAACTTGTTCTAATATAAGAATTTACCTCATGGGGTCCTGATTTTTGTCCCCATAAGGAAGGCAAATCCCTATATTATTTAATTTTAGTCCCCACAATGTGTTAAATATCCACTAAACACATATCCTTACTTATATGACGTCTTGAGCTGTTGTATGACAATACGAGTGTGAGTGAGAGAAAAGGGAATGTTCCTGCTTCCACTTGAATTTAAGTGAAACTGAGAGAAACTCGCACTAAGTATTTTTCTGTGCCGCTTCAAATGTCCTAACATTAGCACAGCTGAACAAATACTGTCAACCCGCCGCCGAAAAGCTACTAGTGCTGACTCATTCTCTCACAGACGCTTCACAGACAAGTTTCCAGAGAAGAATAGCAAACCACTTCTTTAGGGAAATATTTCACCATATTCACTCTAGCCAAACATGAATCTGAAATATTATTTGAGTCAGCCAGAATATATTGTGCATTTAGCATGAGGATACAAGTTTACAAGAATGATTATTTGCTGACAGGAATTGTTTCATATAAGCAGACCAACTAACTGGAATAACTCCTCTTATTGCCAAATTGTGAATTTAAAAGATAGCCTAGATGCCTTATTTTTACAACATAGCAATTTTGCTTTTTACCTGGCAATTAAAGTTACTTTAAACATTTACAACATTTGATTGCCCCAGTACAGATTTAGTGTGTAAGCTGTTCTTGAGGTAAATATGCTAGCTGTAGTAAAAAGAGCATACAAGAAACTCATTTTGTCACAGTTAATAATTAGGATGGTCTGAATGCTCTAAAAGTTAAGTGAGGAATAACTTTTGACCGCTGAAAATCATTTAAAATGAACTAGTTCCGTTTTTCATGTTTTTGAGACAGTAAAAAACAATTACAGGCCTTGAATATAACTTTAGATTCAAATCTGGGATCTGGGAAACATATTTTTTCCATGTTTCAAACCTCCTTTTCATATTTTCTTTTCATTGATAAATATATAGGGAAGAGTTCTGGGGCCTGCTTTTGATGACATATAGTACACTTTGTAATACCCTGGTTATATAGTGTTCCATCTCTGTACATTGAATGCCAATTACAAGGAGAAGCACATGTCTTCCATTGTCCCATTCCGTTGTGTAAAGATTGCTTTTTCAATTTCAATTCTATGCTGTTCTATACTATAATTCTATTCTATGCAATCTGGAGTTTAAATAGTCCAACTTGTGCACAATGCAGAGGGATTGAACAAGTCAGATTGCATATTATAAAGTGCTTTGAGTTGTAAGGTCAAGTAAAATGCAAGAGAGTGTTGTGAAGACAGGTCAATTATAGTAGAAGGCTGTTGGAGTCTTCAAGGTAGGACTTGGACAAACATGGCTCCTGCTTTACAACTATCAGAATAGCTTAGCGCCTTCTCTCTCTGCGTTCTCTTTTAACTCTTGATCTCTCTTATTGCTCATTTCTTCTGGTGCCTTGCCACTCCTGGCTTTTATCCCCCCTCTGCCTCTGCCCCCCGCACCCCCTTGACTGTTCAAATATTATTTCTACCCCTTCTGTAGCCTTCTCCCCACTTTCTTTATCTTGTCATTGCCTGTCAGTGGGGATTCTAGCTACGCCGAGTGTTGTGTGTGTACGTGCCAACACATTGAGACTGCGATACACTTAAGAGCTCATTGATTTAAAAATACCTTCGATATTGGTGGTCCCCTCCTGCAGATTCGTTCAGCAGCTTATCATAACACAGGCGTCGACATCCACGTGGAGGAGATATGCATAAACCAAAGCTCCACTCCAAAGTTTTCTTCTTAAACTTTGTGATTGACCTAGTTAGCTTGTCGTTTTGACAAGTTGTCTGTTTTGACACGACATCCTCCAGTGTTTAGCAGCATCCATTCTGCCTATCACACACTCACATTGGGAATTCGCACACACACACTTAAAGATAAATCGCACGAAGATCTAAAAAAATTGAAGGAAGTGAGGCTTGTATGTGCAGCGGGTAAGTGAAATGACTGCTATTTGGAACAAGAAATTACAGCTGGGTCAATCTTTTGTACGTCTCAACATGTTTGTGCTTTCCTCTGTGATGTCCGTGAAATCATAGTCCAGGTTATTTTTATGAAGTTTTAATTCTGATTTCAGTCAGTGCTGTGATGATGTCTATGGAGTGTAGCTGTTTTTTATGGTTTGTGCTTAAATTCATGGGGTGCCAATGGGTTCAACAGCTTTTCTTTAAGTTGTAAAATGTCCTTTCTTTTACAAAATTGCTATTTGAGTTGCACTCCCCATCAGTCAAATTATTCCTACTTCTTTGCAGGCATATGAACAAAAAGGTGTTTCACTGCCATAAAAGAAAAGGAAAAATCAATTCACACTGCATCAGAATTAATAATTTTGTCCTTAGCCTATTATTGACCTTTCAGAAATTTAAAATCGAATCCTGTATGTATTAAAGCACTTCAGTTAACTTTACCTTTGATTTTCTCTTCTGATTGAATCTTTTCAATGACAGAACTTTTGTGTCTGTCAAATACATTTGTAATACTCATTGTAACTTTTAGTCATACTGTTAGTAGTAGCCACGCGGTGTTTGTTTAGTTTTTCGCCTTTTCTTCCCATGTTATAAGTCATGTTTAGTGCGTTTAGTAAGACTGGCCGCTGACAACCAGAGGTGAGGGGTCAAAAAGCCACGTTAACTCCATCAATCCCCTCAGACAGTTACAAACGAGCTCTCAACTTGGGTCAAAACAATCTGTGGATCATGTGGAACTGACGTCAGCCCATGTAGTAAGAGAGAGGAGACTTAACAATATTACAGCATCAAATGAGGGTATTAGACAAATTCAATTAAAATAAAGGAATAAGCGCAGGAAGGATGTCATCTTTACCATTTCAAGTCTTATGATAAATTATGATGAATTATTGGTGCAGTGGTTATGGTAAAGGTAACAAATTGCTCCTGTTTATATTTTTAAGGGAAAGGTAAATAGGTCCTTCTTAAATACACAGGTTAGATTATTTATTTATTTTTTTATGATTTCAGCTCTGCATTTGCCAGTCTCTACTGAACAAAAGCTAAAAGGTAGCTCTAAACTTCAAAACTACCACTGCATGACATCACAAGGTGGAATAGAGCATTTTGAGCTTTGGAGATGTAGACAGACTAATAATAAAGGGTCTCTGAAACATGTATGAATGAAACAAAACACTACTATAGGTGTGTCTTTGATGAGGTAACATTGAAAAACATCAGATTAATTGTATATTTAGCAGTTTGTGACCCCTAGTTTGTTTGAATTTCCCTGATTTATCACATCACTTATCAAAACATAACTGTAACATTCCCTCAATAGCCCATATAGTATTTTAATTTCAAAAATAGTAGATGAGAAGATTTACTACGCCTGCTGCTTTTACTTACCTAAAGGCGGTTAGTTATTAGTTAATCAACTTGAAAAATGTAAGTAATTTTCGATTCTTCAGTTAAACTTGTATTAAGATGCACTATTAATTTTTACAGTGTACATTAGAGCAGTCAGGGTCTTGTTCAGCTTCCCGGGGCGAGGACTGAATATAACTTGAAGATTTAGTGAGACGTTATTGCTGTCAAAAGTCCAGACTCAAATTAATAACCTCTTTGGCTTAAACCATGCAGTACATATTGGCAGATAAATGGCCAATTAGAGTGACCTTGATCAAAGCTGAGGCCTGGAAAAGCACATTTTAAGTCAACATAAAGGGGAAACAAAAAGGCTTGGAAAAAAAATCATGAAACCATTTCTCTTCAGCCAAAGCTATGAAAGCAAAAAGGCACATGCACACACTCAAAGGTGGGTAATTAGGGAAGGTCACCAAGGTAACGGACAAACACAAGCAATCAGCCGTCACACTGTATGCTTCAGGAAGGAATAAACAACAGCTCCTATAAGTGTGCAGACATCCGCCCACCATCGTATACCTTCAAGATGCTATATAACAAATGTACATGTATATATATTGTTGGGTTTCAGACGACATCAGAAAATGTTGAATTACTAGGCGTAGTCACTAATATAAATGATCAGAGTTGTGGATTTTCTGTATGGATATTTGTAAGACATACTGAGCTTGAGCCTGCTGTATACAGTAGTTACAATCTATACATATATATTAATCTAAAACAATTTATTAAAAGACACATCTGTCTGCCGTATCAGAAAACTGTGGTGCCCAGTGGGAGCTGACATTGGCGTAAACGTCATAACAAAGAGCGGTGAAGTTGTCGTTACCTCTGATGGATAGCTGCAGATCAATTTTTTTTCATTTGTACCAAAATGACTACTACTGAATCCTACACATATCACCGATTAAGAATTGAAATTGGAGAACAAAGTCAGTTCAAAACAGTGGGTGTGTACCAGTGGCAGTGAAAACAGGGATTGATTGGCAATATGGCATCTTGAAAATAAATTATTAAAGATTGCTCACATGCACGAATTACTCCAAATTCAACTTTGAGAGGGAGAAGGGGAAACTGTAACTATAGCATGGTTAGAAGCTCTAAAAAGTTTATTTTGAATAATAGGTCTGCTTTATGAGTATAGTAAATACCACATAGATTAATGACATGAAAAAAAGAAATTATTTTAGTGTAATTTGAAATCACTCTGTACATATAATGAAATATGAATTTGTTATTAAAATGGATTAAGTAGAAAATAAGTCAAGTAACTGATTTTCAAAAGAGTATCTGGTGCTACATGAAAGTCTGGTTTGTGTATATCCTTGGCTAATATAAAAAGGTTTGTTTTGTTCTTTCAGATTCAGAGGAGAGAGACTAAAATCTGCGCTCTACTGAAGGACCTCACAGACTGTAAGAGGCTCCAGATGGACTGTCAGGCACAGGTAATAAATACAGATTTTGACTCTGCATATTAACCATGTGCCTATTTTAGTTTGCCATTAGAAGGGATTAGGAGAAGAAAAATACCTTAATTCAATCTTCAGTTTTACCCCTTACAAACCTCCATTGTGCTTACACCGACCAAGCGTGTTGTTTTTGTAGATGTTTTTAAAAGTAGTTTGCTAATTTGTGAACAAAACACTTTCACATTCCCCTTATTGGTTGTTTCAATGTGTCTTTTTCTAGTTGCTTGGTAAAGACAAAGCTTTTGACAAACTATGTGAAGAGAAGGATGAGCTCAGAGCCAAGATGGCCGACCAACACAAAGAGTACATTCACCTGAAGCATAACACTGAGCGACTGGAGGCCGATTTGGCTCTGAGCCACGAGAAACTGCACACCTCACACCTGGAGGTTCTGGCTCCCCATTTTATCTACGCTTTTCTTAGACACAAATAATAAATCACTGATGTGTGCTAGCGTTTGTGTTTGCTTATGTTCAGGTTAAGAGCCGAGACCAACTAATTCTGCAGTTGAGAGGTGAAATGAAGACAGCTGAACAAAAGCATCACATGGCATTGGAACAGGTGAAGCACCGTCTACCATATATATTAAGTATCTTATTTCACGGTATATTCCCTTATTTCTGCTATCTTAACTCGAACCTAACTTTATACAGCATAATATTTTTAAGGTTTTAAAACACGTTTGTATATTATTGAAAAGTCTTGCTGAAACCACACTGTAGAAACTTTCAATGGACTATTTTATGACTCTATGAATATACTAGTATATGCATTACTACTTCAAACAAAAATGCCATGTTCTTCTGAAATAATGAAAAATGAAAAGGCCTTAAAAGACTAAGGTGATGCTGTTTCATTGCCAGTTCCTCCAGCTATGCTCCACGTTGTGTATTACAGTTACAGTGTTAAAGATACCTGTCTCTTCTGGTACTTTTTATGTGGAAATAAGTGAGCAGTTCTTTGTCTTTTCTCCCTATTTCCCTTCTTTACACCCACATAGCCTCCCTGCACATACCCACACCAGGGAAGTGCCCGACTGGACCATTTTACAGTTGGAAACTGAACAGAACTATTAGAGCAGTGGGAGGTATAGCGTCTTGCTCAAAGGCTCCTCAAAAGTCAGAGCAAAGGAAACACAGCAGAAAGAAAAAAGCAGCAGTTGTTACTCCTTCATGTCCACTATGCCCACACTCTCCCCACTGGTCCTCAGACTAAACATGGAAACTGACTCATACCTTTTTGCAGTTTTTAGATGTTTGCAATACTGTATTTGGTATTTTTAAAGGTAAACTATGTAACTTTTCTGGTCATCCTTATCTCCCTGGAGATATTATTGTTTTGCACAGGATGTAATAGTGTTGCTTTGTATGGTACTTTACTTACCTCCCTTGCATTTATTTAATTGCAATTATTTGTGTTTACTGTTCAGTGGGGTCGCTTCTCCACAGATCTGACTTGTAACTTGGTCTAGAGGTGTGACCTGCTTGTCCTGTCATGGACACAGTTAGGTTTAATGCTATTCTGTGGAACATTCTTGGTAAAGCAATAACACTAGCAGATGGCGTTTCATCAAAAAATTACATTGTGCAGCTTTAAAATTATTCTTACAATATCAGAGTGGTTAATGCACCTTCATCATGTCATTTATTTTGGTTATCTGTCTTATATTTTCTGGTACTTGTACGTGTTGTGTTAGTTTTAGCCTTTGGGTTCTTGTGGATACTCCAATCAGGCAGTTTGGTCTAAATTACCCCTACTGCCAGTCCTCCAAAAACAATGACATTCATCATTTACAGCACTTGATGCACCATTTTACTGGGCCAAACTCCTGTAACTTAATTCCTAAAAGACAGTTGTTGATGAACATATAATTAGCTTCTACATTTTTATATTTTTGCCTCACTCTGTCTCTTTATCGTTGTCAGATGGAGGTATTGGAAGGTGAAGTTAGACGCTTGAACCTGAAGGTGAAAGGGCACAGAGAGGAGACCTGTCAGTTAAGTGAAGAGGTCAGAAGTATGGAGCGCCTTAAGGAACTGGAGAAGCAGGAACAACAGCAGCTACACGCTCAGCTGTGTACAAGCCATCAGCAGGTAAAGAGACATCCTCCCAGTGCACTGCTCTACAGGTGGGATCATCTATAGATCAGTTTGACCTTTGACCCGGAAGCAGTGGCACATACACAGTAGATTGATGCGGATCGCTGGAGCTAGGAGAGCATCGGTCTTCACAGCTGACTGAAGCAGAACTACTCCAGGCTGCTCAGAGTTCTTCTTAAGAGGTCAGAGATCATGAGCTCTGGGTGAGGAGCAGAGAGCAATGCAGAAGGTAGAGAAGATCCTGTATTTGTATGTGTCACTCAGCCAAGCCATGATCCATTAGTGAAATCTAATAAACTTTGTTATCCATGAAAATAGCAGTGGAGTAATATAAGATGCATTTACTAGATCTTTGTGTGAGTGAAAACCGCATGCTCTTCAAACACATTTAAATCAAACAGCGACTCTCTGCACTCAGACAAGCCCTATTATGTGGAATACATCATCTGAATTAGAAGTTTGAATGAGGCCTTTGTTTGTCAGCCGCTCACATCCAGTCAAACAGGAAACAAAGAGAGAGAGAGATAGGCGAAGCATTCTGCTAAAAAGATAAATAAAGTTATTATCAAGGCGCACTGATTTGGACAGTCATGTGACAATTGTAATTACTCAAAGTGCAGGCCGAATGAGGTTCGTCAGGTCAGGAGGGTCAAAGCGATGTGTTTTCCATCATATTTAATGAGAGTTATTTGTTTCCTCAAAGCACACGCTCCCCATTATGGTCACAAGAAAACCATGGTGTTCTTATTAAGCCTTGTTATGAAGCCTTTCATCCAGCAACAGAAAAATCTACCATTAGCGTTGACTATGGCAGAGTGTGTGCAATAATTGAAGTTACTTACTGTATAGTGGAGGTTTGGACAAGAAGTCAATATACAGTCCAGAGTACTACATGACCGAGCTTACTTAATATTCAGAAGTTAATTCAGTTTCATAACATTCAATTAAAACTGCTTCACAAGGTTAGTCCTCTCACCTCGCGCTTCTGTCGTTAGTCTAATTTTCTACACAGTCATGCTATCATCCACTCTGTGTTAGCCTGCACTGGGCCTTGGATAATCCCAGGCTAAACCAACTGCAGCGAACCACTGAAATCTAACTAGTTGGCTGTCATTAGTTTTAAAGCCACGTGTTCTGATCCAGATTACTGCTGGATTATTGTGGATGAAGTTAAGATGAGCGTTAGAGCGGGCTTAACATTTTGAACCTCTCCCTGGAAGGTGTGCTGCACTGGGATTCTATGTGTAACTCCAGGATTAAGCCTGGTTTCACTGCTTGGGCTTTTCCTTCATTATGGCTGTGGTTACTTCACAGAGACAGAATATACTGCAATACTCTGGGAACAACACTTCTTAGTAATACTTTTATTCTGCCACAACTATTTCACATGTCTTTAACATGGGTGAAAAGTTAATGGTTAGATTTACGGAAGTAAGACATTTATTCATTTACTTAAGTCATCTTTGAACATCCTACATTATTAGTTTATTTTGTCAGACAGGAAACATACTTTTTTTTTAAACAACCCATACACTGCGTTGAATCTTATATTATTAGTATTCATTTATTACAGTTAATTAAGTAATACTATAACAATTTGGGAGGTATAGAAAATGTTTGTGTTTTGTAAAGTACTCAGTATATAAATAAATAAATTGTAGTGGAAAAATACTTCAGTTAGTTTCCCGATTATTTTTATTTTATAGTTTTATCAAAGTAATTCTATTTTTTGGCATGCATAAATGGTCTAGGGGTAGAAGACTAGCTGTGATGACTGAAGTAGAGGCCATGTTTGGACAGACATACAGTTTTAGTTATATTTGTTGTGCAGTAAATAAGCAGTAAACTAGTGTTTATTTTCCCTATTCAATCTATGTCCATCTATGGTTTTTGGAACATCTTTAGAATCTTATACACTAAAATGTGTTTGAGAAATTGAGTAATTGTGTATGGCAGTTTATATTGTTTACATTTTTCTGTAGCCCATTAAAACGAGTACAACTGCAATTTGTGGAGAGTACAGAGGCCAAGAAAGCATCCGGCGCTGTAACCTCAAGACACCAGTGCACAACATGTATAGAACAGTTTGTGTCGACATAATTCAGTGTTTGCTTTCAGCTTGAGACATCTGAAGAGAAGCTAAAGACGCAGCGCAGTGAGATCGAACGTCTTCATCAGCGTCTGAAAAAGGCTAAAGAACAGTTGAGAGAGGCCTGTCTGCACGCCCAGCTCCAGGAGGAAACTATAGGCATTTTTAAACAAAAGTATGCCGCTGCCATTGAAAAGGTTCACAGGGTGCAAGGACAAGTGGGAGTTTTAGAAGAGGAGCTGCGCTATTCAAAACAACAGGTAGACAATAAATGGTACTTTATTTGTCCTACAGATTGTTGTTTGTGTCGTTGGAGTGAGTGTATACAACTGTCAGCCATAACATTATGACCACTAACGGATCAAGTGAACATTTTGTCATCAAAGTCAATGTAATGAAACAGAAAAAATGACTGCAGAGGTACAAATTACAGAACAGTTACAAAAGAGAGTTGTCTTGATGATAAATGACAAAATATACATAATATATACAAACACGTTAAATATAGAATTGAACACAAAAAATAAAATATATATATAAAAAAAACTTGGAAACAGCATTAAAGGTACTACAGTATGTCATTTTTCTTTTGGAGGAGTCTGCTATGGAGCTCAACAGTGACTGTGTGAGTGGTTCCAGAAGAAATTTTTCCATTTATTTTTCCCATTGACATTTTGAAAAAATTCAAATATTAAGAGTTCACTGCTAACCAGCTACAGGGTAACTAATATCCATAATGCGGTTGATTTAAGTCTAAAAAGCACGTTTTAAAATGAAAAGATTTGGAGAAATGCTTTTAGCGTTGAGGTTCATAAAGTTTTTAGAAACAGATTTTAAATGAAATCGTAGATCTTCTGGTCATTACTTACCACATAACTAATTAGCCCTGAACAAGCTTTCAGACAAGCTGACTGTGATGGTTCAGTCCAACACATGAGCTAGTAATACTTTAATTGCTATAGCAGGCCGGTGTTCACAATGTTCTGGCTAATCTGTAAATATATTTGTTTTTAGATGAGAGAGTCCCAGATTGCGAGTCAGGCTGTGAAAGATGAACTTGTGGAAATGGAGCGGCGTTATCAGGAGAAGGTTGGGCAGTGGGAGAGGGCACAGGAGACTCTGGACCAGCTAACAGACGAGCTCCAGTCTGTCCACACTCTTCTCCACCAGAGTCAGAAGAAAACTGAGACCCAAGGAGAGACTATTCAATCCCTGCGGGGCCAAGTGGACTCACTACAACAACAGGTATGAACAAAACGAGAATATAGTGAATCTTGTGTTATCTCAGCAGATTTCCATCAGTTTGCACAAGTAATGAACAGTCCTAAACATTTTATTTCCCCACGACAGAATTATGACGCATCAGAGCTTGGCACGTTTGATTAGATTTCATTTATATTCCGCAGTTCCCCGTAATTTTAATGTAACAACCAATAAATTTAGCTGGAAGATGATCTTATAAACACATGGAGGTGATTAGATCCAGCTTATGGCTAATAAAGCAGTTTCATTGGAGCCAAGCAGAGGTCTCAAACACTGGAGATGTAATGTAATGTGTATGGCTTCTCTTTGAACTGTGATGACTGCACTATGTAGCTGCAATCAGGTGTTGGCCCTTGACGTGTTCATGAATTATGAGGTGAGGGCATATTTCCTTTGTGTCCACGTGCACGCTTATGTACGGGGCATGTGCACGTGAGCACTGGTGTGTGTCACTTAATCTTTTCTCCTTTTTTCTTTTCTGTTTTATATTTACTACGTCAGGCAACAAATGAATCATCTTTATTACAGAGAAATTTAATTTGGATGAACTTAACTGCTGCCGCCAAGGTCAGACGGGCAGAATGTCATTTTAATCCAATCAGCTTTAATCTGTTGGTTATAAAAGAGTTAGGCTGTTGAAGAATGGCTGTATCTCGGGCCCTTTATTACGCTGGCTAATGACTTTGATTGTGAGGCGCCTATCAAGAGGTTAGGAGTTCTTATGGAGCTTTACGTCCCACTAATTCTCAAACTCAGGCCAGTGTTGGGTTCAGCTCACTCTAAACTCAGTCATTTTTACATTTTTTTGTTTGTCAGAAAAAGTAATTAACCTATTAACTCTTACTTAACTACAGTATAGCTTTATATAATATCGTGTCCTTTACGAAATTTTGAAGGCAAATGTTTGATTAGATTTTTTTATTCATTTTATTGCCAGTTGTCCTTAAGGTTTTAGAGGTTTTTATAGCTTAACATCTTGAAAAGATTGACCCATTAATAGTGATAACTATATGCCTTACGTGACATAAATACCTTATGCTCAGTTTGTCATAACTCATAACTTTTTCAAATATGTAATAAATCTCCAAACGAAAACATTATAATTTCCCTTTTAAAACAGAAAGAACAGCAGAATTGTGCAGAGAAGGTCATATTTTAACACAATCTTTTCTAATACATTTGCAATCAGATTGTCTAATGGAAAGATAAGCATTAAAAATTTAAGTCTTATAATGAAGGACATCATTTCATAGAGTGAACAGTGAAAACTGCCAATGAGCTCTGCAGTGGTTTTGTCTTGTTGTTGGGCCAAGACTTTGTCTCATAATAAAAAACACACTAATAACTGCAGTCCCTTTGAAGTCGCTTTAATCTGTTTGTTACAGTTAAAGGCCATGTCGCTGTGCTTAGCGCAACAAAGGAAAAGAAAGACAATGCATCTATTATCATGGTGGGAAACCAACATGTACTACTGTCTATAATGAGATGAAAAGGATTTATTACAATGCACAAATTCTGACCGCTGTGATATTCGTTATGCTATTATATTACTTTAAAAGATGAATTTTAACTCACAACAAAGAGTCTTTTTTAATTTTCTTTTCTTAGAAACTTGTGATTGAGGGTGACCTGAAGGTTTACCAACAAAGCCATTTATATTCTGATGATGAGTACCTAAGTCAGCTAAAACAAAGAGAGCAACTTCAAAAGGTACATTTATTACTTGTTATGCATTCTCATTTTCCCTTTTATAATCACACAGAAGACATGCTACTGTGCATGTTTTGACAGTGTCTTGTGTCTATCTGTGTGTGTGTGTGTGTGTGTGTGTGTGTGCAGCTCTGTGCAGAGCAGGTGGAGCACCTCGCCGAGTGTGAAAAGGCTATTCTTCAGATGAAGTCAGCGCTGGAGAGACAGTAATAACAGAGTCTATAAAACTCTCATTCTCCTCTGCTCATCTTGGATTGTGTCCTTGTCTCTCCTCCTTGCCCTTCCCTTTCGCCTCCACCCCCTTCTCAACTCTAACAATCTATTGTACAACACAAGCAAAAGTCTTCACAGTATGCACTTTTATTCTTTTAGCTTGCCTGTTATGCAGTTTATTTATTTTGTACATTTATAATAGTTACTTTTTGTGCTTCGTCCACACAGAGCTGAAGAAAAGATGGATCTGCAGAAAGAGTTTGTTGTGTTGCAGCGCACACACCTGAACAGTCGTAGGCAGCACCAACAGGAAGCAGATCAACTGAAACAGGAAGTGACACGTTTGGAGCTGGAGCTGGCTCAGACCCAACAGGTCAGTATAGGTATAAGGCCACACTGTCCTTTCTCTTAGCTACAGCACATACGTTTGTATTTCACACGCTCGCTCTTTTGTTCTAATTCAAACTGCACGACACATTGTTTCTGTGAGACTCTCGAGCCAAGAACATTAACTGAAGCTCTAGCCAAACTCTTAAGGACGAGTACCCAATCCACCTACACACCCTCCACTCATGTGATTGTCCCATGATTGCCTGGCAGAAACAAATTGCTTTGCCATTAATTAAAGCACCAAACGGTGCCAAGGCTGGTGAAATTGACTCCAATTAAGAGCTCAATGGGACACTAAATATTCAAATTACTCAAAGTGGTGACTGTAGCCTGGCAAAGTGCCAATTCCGCTGGCAGTCATAGACACATAATTCAGAGTGTGTATGTGCGGCCTTGTTGGTGTGCTGTAAGTGGGAGCGTTTGATTTTACACATCATTTGTGTGTCCTCTGTCACATACAAGTGAGATACATGTGACACACCTGCTCTGTTATATCACAAACATACACACATGTGTTTCTCAACAGCTGTCAGGACGTGTCCGTTCATTTAGCCCAGTCCCCGTGGAATACTGGTAATGACTGTGTCATGTACAATGTCAAGTAGCGACATATGTCTCAAAGCTACTTTTACATTTCTTACATTCATTATGCATATGTCCTTTATTAATCTTTTTCATTATTCACATAATGCATAATTTTCTAATGTTTAATAATAGAGGGCTCTCATGTTTAGCCTGACACTTTCAGTCTAAGGTCAGGGCTTTTCATGGAATCAGAAGTAATCGATGTATATAACTACTTGTTTATTTCAAATACAGTATGTTAATTACAACCTTGCTGAACTCACATCTGTGGAAAAGTATGGGCATTTGCATTATATTGTATTTGCAATGACACTTAACGCATTGCAAGGAACATAATGAAATAGTGACAAAATAACACAATTCATGTATATACATGACTAAAAGAGACCCTAACTAAAATGCAATATTCATCATGAGGTTTTTTTATTGATCAAAGGAGAAATCTTAAATTTCTCTAAATGACTGAAGACACATTTGAGGTTAATTTGGAGTTAGTTTGTGGAGACCTTTCTCTTTCTGTCTGGGCTGACAAACTGGCTCACAGATTTGCTTGGCCCTCCGGTGCAGGTGCATGTAACGCTGCTGAAGTCCGAGGGAGAGCTGAGAGAGGCGCGACACGAAGCTGAGAGGAAGACCAGTGAGGTGCAGAGGCTCACACAGGAGCTACAGAAGGAGGAGCAGAGAAGGAGCAGCGCCATCAATGACAAACACAGGCTCAAAGCATATATCCACCAACTCAGGAAGGAGCGGGAGGAGCTACGCACTAAGCACCAAGTGACAGGTACCAATCATTCAGTGCATCATCACTCACTCATCTTATCTATTCCATTGTCACTCAGGGCAGGCTGTCCATCACATTTCTAATAGTACAATAGAAATATGAAAAATACAGTCTTTCTAGGAGACCCTTTATGTACAAAATATATTAAATTATAATTTTTTGTGAGCTACTGTCATTTATATTTTGTGTGATTGTTGTGATGGGAGCTTGTTCGAGCTACTATGGACCTAAGGTGATTGGTTTGTCCAGGTAAATAGCTTAATAGTTGCAGTGACATACATTAAATAACAATTATGTAATTTTTTCACTATCTGTACTGGTAAATTACACTGATATGGTCCCAGGGTTGTGGGCTATAGAGAGATAAAAGATGAGACAGGGATATGAGTATACATACACTGTCTATAACCTAGGAGAAGATAGACAGATTCCCAAAGGTGCATACACTGTTCTATAGAGAGTAGTCTATTTTTTTCATAAAATTTTTTTATTAAATTTACAAAGGCTCCATAAAAAGAAGACAGTCAAGTCCAGACCACTTTGAAGCTTTTAGTTTAACCTTCTAACCATAGGAAATCTGTAAAAGCATCAGACCAAAACTATTAAAATGCCTTACAAATATATTGTTAGAGACTATGGATCCCTGTAGATCGGGACATGCCTTAGCTTGTAATATGTGACCTGCAGTGAGTAGCATGCCTGCTGTTAGCTCAGCCAGTTAGCATGTTTTCATAGCTTCCTCACAGACTCTGGTGATATAGGTTTGATTTAATAGCACACTGCTTTGGCTGTATGGTAATGATGTCATTTATGTATATGTGAGTGCACGACAGTGGCCTTTGTAGCGCTGTGTATCCAGTGCAGGAATGGTGATAGCTGGGTCTCTCCGGGCACAGAAATGTCTCATTAAGAATTAACGTACACATCTATGGTCACGGTAGACACACGCACACACAAGTACCCACTGGCTGGACTCCCTGCGCTTTAATTAGCACATACACACTACCCCTGTGAGGTACAAACACGCACACACAAACCACCTATTGTCCGCTGAGAGATGAATCTGAGGTCTCTCTCGGTGGCAGACAGTGGCTGGCTTCTGCGCTCAACACTGCTCATTAACAAGATAGAGACAGAAGGACAACGCAGTGTAGCTTGGCCTTTGTCTGTGATCAAAACGCATTCCCTCAACTCTGTGCGCCACACAAAACCACATATTATTCAGCCGTTACCTTCGGCAAATACAATCTAGCAATGTAGAGCCCATTGTGACGACTTAAGAAGAATAAAGATGCATTATTATAACAAAGGAGACATTGTTTACCTGGATATAGCCATGGCTTGAATGGACTGGGTGAGGAGTCAGTTTGAAGAATTACTGTCAGGTACAAAAAGGCTTTTATGAGCACTACGCCCTTTTGGAGAGTTTTTTTTGCCAAACGAAAACATTACCTTGAGTGTTGATGATTCTTTTTGTTGCTTGATAACACAATGTAGGCCTATAGTTCAGCATCAAGTGGAATGTGGCGGTAAACAGGTTTGGCTCATATAGGTGAATCTGTATGGATGTTTACGGACAGAAAGTTACAAGGCCTGGCTTTATTCTGTGGTGTAATGACGTGTGCACAAACAATGAGATATACCCTTCAGTGCAGATATGCTGTCCCATTACAATGACTTTATTTGGCCTTTCTGTATAATTACTTCAAACCTTAGGAAACAAGGTCTCCTCACTATTTAGTAGGAGGGACAATTTTGAGAGTGTAACTCTAAAGGCACATACTAACAAAATATATAGAATTACAGTTATGATTCATTGCCTATTGCTCATTTAGTTAATACCCCATGCGTGAGTAACAAATTACTGAAAAATACCCTTTTCAGTCAATTAAGTTTTCAAAAGGGCATTTACCACTTTCACTGTTACTAAGGAAAAGACTTGATACAGATTTTAATACCATTATATAAAACATATATAAAATAGAATGCAATTTTCAACACTAAACAATAGAAGTTTCTCTTATATTACCTCTTATTTAAGTTCTGATTTTTTTTCCCCAAGATCTATTGTTTTCAGCATTTCAGGATTGTTTTGATACTAATATTTGTACCATATACTATCTGTGTTTTGATTTTTTAAACATCCTATAAAATACCATATATTGATACATACGTTGCTGCAGGAGTGCGCAGTAGATGTGATGTTGAAGTTGCTCTCTATGGCCTGTACTGTACATGAGCCTGTCAAGTGTCAAGCACAGAGACAAGGGCAAGAATCAGGGAAGTGTCATAAGAGAATTCTGAAGCGTCGTGCGGCAGCTGGATTCAATCAGGCCGTGTCAGGAGCCATGACGAGACCTAAAGAAGAGAGTGATTAAAACTCAAGTGAAAATAAGTCCTTTAACTTTACCTATGACTCAATCTGTCACTTTCTGTCACTCTCAGATAGTAGCTTCTCTTCCATAGGATTTTCAGATTAGTACTATTCTGGTGGAAAATTATAGGTGACTTAGTGTAAAGTGAGTTCCAGGGTTCATTTCAAGTTCTTTTATTTCAGCAGACATGATACACAGATTTTAAACTTTTAGAAAATGGATGTGTTCATTAGGGAGGCACTGATCCAATACTGATATTGGATATCAGTGCTGATCCAGAAAAATTTGCATTATCGGATATCGGCTTCCAAGTATCGGTTCAGCCAATATCCTGTTTGGACATATAATTTGATGTAATAAGACCATTTATTGGTCATGGTCTCATAATGTTTGAACTTTTATTTAAACAAAGCTGTACTGTAGTTACATGAGAGATTAACAACACCTATGTAACACATTTGGATCAGATTTGTCCCATTTTATTTTTGCTTAAACTATGGAGTTTCCAATTTCTACACTGATATCGAAATCAGTATCAGAACTGAAAAAGGTTGATCGGTGTGTCTGTAGTGTATGCAATATGTTCAAGACAAGCCACAATTTCCAAGTAGAAGTATGCATCAGATATTGCCTCAGCAGCTGAGATTCATTTTTGTTTTATTATGTCAATAAAAGCTCTTATATTTGTCTATTATTTCATTTGTTTAGAAAAAGGCTTTTTTATGTTGTCAGATGTCAATGTAAATGACAGAACTTTAAAATATTCAGATGACATTTTAGTCAAAGTCATTGTGCATCTCTGTCAAACGCGCTGTGAGGTTGGCCTTGATGTAAAATGAATTTGATAACTGCGCAGAAACAACTGAAACAAGCGCATAAACAAAAACCTAATATCCATATTTCCACCGACAAAAACAGAAATGTGATATAAGCACCCCCTGCGCCGCTGATGTGCATCTGCCTAAAGATGATGAAACCATTATCCTGTACAGCTCCATGTGCACTGTACTAATGTGTGTGTGTGTGTGCGCCAGATCCCTGGACGCACACACGCACAGGCCGCTCTCCTCCAATTCACCTCTATTACTAGCTATAATCCCATTTCACACTCTATCGATCCCCAAAACTGTTGTTCACCGGAACCAGCAGCAAACACTGGCATTTCTCCCCATCATTTCACAGGCATTGTTCTTTATTACACAAAGAAGCCCCCCTCCCCTCGTTTTTGTCTTAGAGCAAACTCAACCCCAGTGAAATATGAATTATAAATGTATGGCTAATAAAAGAGAAGGAGGGAAAGAGGGAAGAGAGACAGAGATAGAGAGAAGTGGTTGGTAGAAACATCAGAGAAAATGACTCCTTTACAAGAGTCTATTGATCAGTTTCTATCAAAGGGGGATGTCAGACATGAGATTACCTGGCAGTTTGAGCATTAGGTGCCGTGTGTTATAGCCCCGGGCCCTTGTACTGCTGCCAGAGGATTGTAAATAAAGCAAAGAAGAGGAGAGAGCAAGAGGGGAGTGTGTTGGGGTTGTGCGTACCACTTTTTGATTCTATGTGTGCGTTAGTCTTTGTTTTTCCTCAGCCCGCCTCTGTTGTGTTGCTTTATTTTTATTCGTGATGATGTGCGGGCGTCTGTGCTCCTACACCTTTTGGCTCTTACCCAAAAGCAAGTGTTGCAAGTCGGCGAAACTTCAGAAGGCGAGAGAGGGAGTCGAGGGAGGCTATGGAAGGTCTCAGAGGAACACCTTAGCCTGCTTACCAATCCCCCTACAAAGCCAAAGGAAACCCCTATGAAGCTTGTGGAGCTGTTATAAGGGGGCAAGGCACGACCAGTCTAGCCCCAACCACTGATTCAGGGTTAGCCAGGTTTTCATCCTTCTCATGTTAAAGGTTAGCCGTGAGAGTGGGCTAATCTGACTCCAGATCAGTGATTATAGGCCCCGATAATGTATGGTGCGCTTTGAAGTTAGTGCCAATGTATTGAGAGGGACAGGCCAAGTTGGATTAAGGACTGATGTTGTGCCTCAAGTCGTGAATCTGCTTTAAACGAGTCAAGAAAGTCAAAGTGGCAGTTGAGGATCTGAGATTACAGTCACAACATGAGCTGTAGAAGGCCATTTAAACTTATGCACAATATTTCAAATTCATGACTTTATTAAGGATGAAATTTAGATGTTTTATTACAAAATATTTGCTGTACAGTCATGTTTTGCCCCTCTGTTAGACACATATAAAGCTTTATCTTAGAAAAAAGGCAAACTTTTGAGCAATAGATGACTGCAGAGTATTTATCACATTTTTCTATTGTAAAATAATTCAGAATATGTTTACATGTGTGTATGCATACAAATATACTGTATCTCTGGGTCTGTGATATTATTACTGGTTATTATTATCAAGTTATAGGTCAAATTATGATAATACTGTTAATTTTGTTTTGAAAATATGCAAATCTTTAATTATGAAAAAATCACTTTTAATATAAAATGCTACTAAAAGAGCTGATTAAAAATGAAAATGACACAACCTTGCATCTTTCAAATATAACTCTCCAATTATATTTCTGGTCTTTTAGGTAATTTTACAGTTTTTTCTCATTTGCCTGATTCTGAAACCTCCAGTTATACAATTATAGACATATTTTAGCAGATTTCGTTGGATAGGCTAAATATTCAGATGAAATTTAGCTATTGTGCTTATGCCGACATATTTATGTTGAACCTGCTTGCAGAGACGCATTGATTATAATACACTGTCCTAATTAAAACAATAAAAATACATAAAATAGCCTTTAATTATCAATAACCTCCCAATTCTATTTTCAGTTTGTGCACTTTTAGCCGTTGTTGCTGTTAAAACCATGGTCATTGTCTTTTCCATGTTTTAACTGTAGTGCATATCTAATAAAAAAGTTAAATATTCACAAAATCCCAACTTTTTGACAAATTATTACCGACAAATCATCACCATCTTCCCCTGATCGACCCAACCCAGCTGTCTGCGTGCCCTTGTCTGCTCCTATTACTATGTGTGTTTTAGCATAAAAGTCCCCATATTCTAGGTCACAGAGCCAGCAGTCTACATCTCCACTTAATTTTATACCGCTGTGTGTGTGTGTGTGCATGTGTGTGTGTGTCTGTGTGTGTGCCTACCTTTGCCCATGTGTGTAGCCGGCCAGTGCACGCAGCTAATTGCCTCCCCTGGTGGGTGGTGTCACTGGGGTCACCTCAATCTAATGCCCTAAATGTGAATTTGATCCACCTCTCAAGTTTTCACATCTCGCCTGTATTGATTATTGAGATACATAGCAAACTCTCACCTTGAGGTTGAGAAAAAGCCAAGGTAGGGCAGGTCCACACACAAATAAAATGTTTGTGCATCGTTAAATATTTAGCATTTTCAGATATGCCTTCAATTTTCCTAGGGCTTCAGTTTAAACAGTTTGAATGCTGGAAAGGCATACATTTATCATGGTTTCATTACATGTAGATTTTCTTTTTGTATTTATCTGCTTCTACTTCTGGTATTGGTTTTTAAGCTTCCTTTTTTCAGTCTGTCCAACCACAAGGCTCATAACATGGTGCACCTCTCTAAAGCATTACAGCAACACTCTTAACATTTCTGTATTTTTATTTCACACACTCAGCGCGCACAAAGCCAAGGTCCGGCCCGTAAATATTCAACACAGCTACATATTCAGTGTGCACTTCTCAATATTCACTCGCCATGGCCACCGATGGCTGACAGTTTATGTTATATTCAATGAATACTGAATTTGGTGAAAAGGTTTTAAGAGCTATGAAGAGACATTGACTCACAAAACAGCACAGAGCAGAAAAGAGAGGAGGGAGGGGGACCAAATTTTACATTTAAAATTTAACCTGAAAAAGGGGCCACCAAAGCAAACCAAACCAAGAAACCTGACCAGCGTTTATTATGCATCTGCTCAATGTGCTAAAGCATTAAGTGTAGGACAATGGGGTTTTATTGCATGTAGATGGAATGGACGGCTGAAAAGGCTGTGTGATTGAGGGACCAGAGTCAGCACTATGAACTCAAGTAGCTTGCTCAAGGTAAAGAGTGCCATCTATTGACTAAACCGGGAACAGCATCTTTTGTCTCCCAACAAAGAGCCGCTGCTGCTGCTTCTGCCGCTGCCCGGGCCTGGGTGCAGAACTGTGCGAATGCGTCCTCCTTCCTCCATCGCCCCTGAAAGCCATTCACAGCCTCCTCTCTGTCCCACTTTCTTTGGTTTTTCTTTGAAGGCAAGTTGCTGTTCATATTTTCCCACTCATGCTGAACTTGAGCAGAATCAATAATCACCTCTGTGTATGCATGTTTTGTAAATCATTCTATTAACCTTGGCCCACTGGAGGATGCCGAGCGCAGTGTAAACCTTATATTTACATGTATATAGCCTTCTTTCTCTGAATACAATAAATAACAAAATCTCAGCCTTCAAGAGTTAACCCAGCGCCCTTTTCAACAATAGCTCAAATAAAAGGTTGCTTTTCATGTTGTGATGTGGGTATTTAAAGTGGACTAATGAATCTTAACCAGACTGTGGCAAACTGTTGCGTTTTTAAATCACACTCTTTTTTTTTTAACTTCTTTTCTTCTTATCCTGTCTTTGCTTAGTGGAGGAGTTGGCAGCCCGTGCAGAGGAGGCGAGGCGGATGGAGGGCTGCCTGAATAAGGAAAAGCTAGCAGAGGAGAAAATAAGGTAAGAAAAGGCAGGGATTGAAGCTCTTTGCCTGTTACCCCATTGTCCCCAGTGGAAGCGCTATAATCAAAAACATTTAAATTTTTCTCTGGCTTACAGTAGGCCGTTTAACTCAACATGTGTTCAACAGATCAGCCCCTTTAAAATCCGAACCATGCAAAGGAATAATACTGACAAAAACTGACATATTTTTCTTATATTAGATGATGTGAAAGCAGTTATCGTGACCGGCATGTATGGCCCTTTAAAGACATTTCTCGAGATTTATCGTCTGGAAGCAGATGCGATGGGGTCCCGGAGTTCAAAGTTCAGGGGTGAGACCTCTTGTTGACCCCTGTGTGTCACCGAGGCTGCGGCGATGACATAAGCTAGCACGTCTCACCCAGTTTGAGGGGCTGTTTTTGTTTTTTGTTGTTTTGCATACTTGCGGTCTGTGGTTTTGGGCTTCATGACTTCACTGACTGCAACGTTCTCCTTTTTTTTTTCTTTTTAGGGAGTTTCTCGGTTAAGTTCAACCATGGAACATTTTTATCCACAACCCGGCAATTTAGAACTCGGCATGCTCCAAACTTTTATAGCCTCCCCTCGCAATGATTAGCTTTTATGACATTTCAGCTAATTTTAAGTGGTTAAACAATAGTCAAGTCTGCACATTACATTACATTGCATTTACTGTTAACTGGGTATTATCTAATAAGTGCAAAGACATAAAGGGTTTTTAAGCAACAACACTACGCTGATGGCTTCCATGTGTGCACTGGGAAATCCCCATGTTTCCGCAGGATGCCTTGTCTTTTTCACCGCCTTCTCTCCACAGCTCTGTCCATCCTATCATGTTCAGTCTCTATGGCCCTATCTATCAGACATATTCTTTCCTCTTCACTTTCCCTGCTCCAATCTCAGCTTTTACGACCGCTGAGTTGTCCCATTGTTCTGGCTTCATTTAGTTTATTGTTAAAACATGTTGCCAGTGTACTCAGTCGGGGTATATTTCTCTCTTTAATTTATGTGGTTTACAATAGATTGAACCTGTTAAGTGTATTTTACAACTTGATTTAAGACAATAGGTCACAGAATTTTAACAAGCCTTCCTGTGTGCTCAGTGTTTTACCTTCTTCCTTTCCTCATTAGCACTCAGAAATACTTCAATTATAAAAAGGTGTTAGATATTTAATTATTTAGGTATTTTTGTATTTCTATTTTAATTAATATTTCATCCCAATTACTAATAAAAAGCCAATTAACATTTATGGTTTACTTGTTTTGAAATGTGTGCTAGCGTGTTCAAGGCCCAAATATTTTTTTTTACTATTCATAAACTTGCAATTTCTCATTTTTAAATATTTCATTGGAGCTATAGGTCAGCAGTGGAGGTGGTTTGTTTTGCCTGTTGTATATATATCTATAGAGTTTGTTGGTGTGCATGTGTGTGTGGAGAGTTGTAGGGGATGTTGAGGCTCACTGAGACTGTGCAGGGAGGTTTGTGGAAATGGTAATCATTTGTCGTATTGATCCGGCTGTAGCCAGGGCAGCCCCACGTGCACTCCCCGGGCCGGCGTGCACGTGCATACACACTCATGTTACCCACAAGCACACAGGAGCACAGTTGCGTGGCAGGAATAGACCCTTTTATATTGATCCCCTTCACATTCCCTTAGCTGGCCTGCCACACACACATTTATACGCACATGCTTACACTTTCTGGTCCCACACCGAGTCCCACAACACCACATTTTCTCAGTATTGATGGGTAAATTAAATACTTAAATCTATTTGTTTTTGTCTATGCATTATTTAAGATATTTACAGTTTTAGGCGAGCTGAATAAGAGTTTAAATAGACGGATAAGCAATAAATGTATATAAGCTACCGACCCCATAGTGCAAATCATATTTTTTTCAAACCCAATCAGTAATCACCTTTGACCACAGAGGCATCGATTACATGTTGAAGTACTACCATGAAACATATTTTTTTACATATAAAAAAAATCTACCTTTAAGTGAATAAATATCACAAATAAATGCCTAAATTAATTACTATGAATATATAGACATGCGTTCACTTCGTTTCAAACTCTTCAGTCCTACAGAGATTTCCTCAGTATTGATGGGTAAATGAAATACTTAAATGTGTTTGCTGTTATTTATGTATTATTTAAAGTCAGTGCGTTTTTTTTTTTTTTTTACAATGGCTGAAGGTAAAATAAATATATAAGTGTGTATGTTTGTGTCTCTACAGGTCAGTGGTGCTGAGGCTGGAGACTGAGCAAGCTGAGCTGAAGAGGGAGCTTCAGGAGGCTGTCCATCTCAGACTCAAAGCACAAACAGAGAAACAGGAAGCACAGGAGCAGGTAAACAACTACACTACATACACACCAGTATCACCAGTGTGGAGTGGGCTATAAACTCAGGATTCATGATTTACGCTTAGATAAACCAACAGGTTAAACACTCATTGTGCTTAGTTACATGATTATTTAATATAACTGTATTTACATATTATTTCATTAGTTAAACTGTTAAGTGCAATTTTCTGAAATTAAGAGATTAGTCATTGAAGTTGTTAGATTACAGTAAAGTGAACCACATATGTTATTGTATATTGTATGATTTAGTTCAAACTGAGTCATTCAAATTTTGTAATTTAAACTGTTTACTAAATTCCTGGGGATTTAGCCATAGTGGTTAGTTGAGTAATGGATAAATGCAGCTCTAACCAGTTCTTACTCACTGCCGTTGTGTTCCTGAGCAAGACACCTAATGCCTGTGTGAATATTGGGAGTGATTAGAGGGGGTCAGAGTGGCCTTCAACTCATGTCTCTTCAGTTCTAGCTAGAGAAAAATCTATGAATAATGGACTATAATTACGAAGTGCTTTGAGAAGCTTGTAAAGCGCAGTATAAATCTGGGCCAGTATTGCTATAGTTGAAATGCATAATTTTTGTTGCACCCATACATATACTACATTTTTGATTGCATTTTTATCCACCTAAAATAGTTATATTTCCAATGAAAAAGGATATTAAAGTTAAAGCTAATGTCAGATTAAAAGTTAAGTAACTATATAATGTAATGGCTATACCTTTCACTGTCATTCAAATGCCATTGTGTAATAAAAGTGGTTTCATTTCCCCTTGCTTTGGGCCTGCTCCATAGACATATATAAAGGTGTGTGTTGTTCTCTCCCTTCCAAGGTCTCCCTCACCTCCCTCCCGTACCTTTTTGATGATTAGTGGCGTATATCCCGCACTAGAGCCCGGATTATCTTGTCCAAATGGGGGGAGGGAGGAGGGGAGGTATACTGGAGGAACCTAAACCTGGCAAGGTGATTTGGAGCATTAATTCCGGGGTGTAATATTCCCTGTTATTCCCTAATGTTCGGGATGGGAGAGGGGTGCTTGGTGGGGCGGGGGGCGGCTCTCTCTCAGGGGAGCGGAGTTGTCAGAGCTGAGCCGCTGCTGTACAAAGGCAGAATGGATAATTAAGGGTAAAGCCAGGACGGCAAGTGATGTTCATTTAGATTCGACAAACTTTGAATTCTGTCTTAAGCTTCACTGCGCAATGGTGCTCTTTCCACTCGGATCTTGATTTTGCATTTTGTTCAATTCCATCTTAAAGTTGGTTCCGCTTCCCTCTCACCCCAACGCTCATGTTTTTTCCAGTCTTTTTACTCCATGTGTCCTCCACTCTCTCACCTTACTTTTTTTGTCTTTCTGTCGGGCCTTGTGAATAATACATGGCACATCACTGCTCCCCCTCACATTAGTGCAGTAGGGTTTGACATCAGTGATTACCCAGGGCCAGTAGACACACTGACTTTAGCCAGTTAGGTAGCCAAGTAGCCAAGACAGTGCTTTCAAAAAGATTTCTTCATCTCCAGTATTTCTCAGCTGTGGAAAAGTGCCTTCTTTCATCTTTGGACCTTTTTGCTGGAGCCTTCTTGCTTTGGAAGTACATTTCATGATCAAACAATGATGTCAGATATGTTTCTGTCAAAACTGAGTCATGCATTAAGAGACATGCTACAGCTTACAGGAATGGCATTACAGCTGTTAGTTATTCTAGGGACTATTTGACGATGGTATTAGAGAAAAACATACAAGAAATTGCAATGTAAGGACCTAATTCTCAAGTGGTTAGTACCTACTATGCCTCAAAGTGAGCAAAATTGAATTTAAATGATTATAAGACTGCATGAAAATGAATTCTGTACACACAAAATGAAAACATAAATCTCCACAAATGCATTTTTTGTAATAGCTGTCATTGTAATCAATCCAGACTCTGTAGAATAAAATGAAAAGTCCACAGTCTTTGAACTCCCAAGGATCAACCACATAAATGTCATTTTGTGTTATTTTGATGTGCGATTGTGCCATATACTAGTAAATGTGTTCTGGATTATAGGCGTGTTCTTTTTTTTACATCATCTTATCTCCTTAACATTTTGCTGGTTTCTCACAACATCAGAGGAACTTTTCAATAATTTTGACGAGTAGTTAAACACCAGTGTGATGTCCTGGCTGACTATAACTCCTTCATTAGGTCCCGATCGCTCTTATTGACCAGTGCAAGATGAATTATCCGCTGGTGAAAAAATCAAAGGTTTTGAAATGGTAAATGGTACACTACAGTGGCCTATAGAGGAAATCTATATTACAAATTGCCTGGGTGCACAGTAGGTGAACCTCAGATAGCTGTGTCTTGTACATCTTACTGTATATGCTGTGTTTGTGCGAAATGTGTGTCTTTGAATGTGTTTAGTATCTGGGGAAACATAGATTATAATGTTTGCAATTTGGTGTTAGCATGCACGCGCCACATCGCTCTGGCCTGTCCCTCTGCATGAGTCCAGTTCAAATACAAATAGTGGTAAACACCAGGCATGTTTTTGTGACTTCTGTTGCTTCAAACAGTGATCAGATCTCCACTTTTCTCCTCTGTCCCCCCTCTTTCTCCCCCTCTCTCGGCCACACACACACAATCACAGTCATTAGCAGTGTGTTGACTTGAAGCTCTTTTAGCATGGAGTGAAAGATTTCAAACAGTTTTAATGAGAATTTCCAGTAAGTTTTCTGATGGCGAAAGTTCAAATGGGGTTCGTGTTTATTAACTTTTTCTAGTTAGTCCTCAGATCTTTTGTAACAACTGAAGTCATTTGTTTCCAATATGTGATAGTGACTTTAAATCTAAACAAACTATTAAAAAAGTGAACTTTGGTTTTTGAAGCAGGCTTGTTGATTAGTTCTTAGCAGGGAAGGATCTCCTAATGCAATGACATGTTGTTTTTTTATTTGACTATTGCATTGTGAAATTAATACCGCTGCAATAAGTCCCTTTTAGGACCAAGTTACAATGTAGGATTTATAGTCAATTACAGCATGCGTACTCTGAGTCAGATGATGCCTTTGTGGCTGTAGGAGTCAGTAGATCTATCTTAGATACAAAATAGTTATTTAATGTTAGAGTAACATATGCCAAACCTTCATTTGTTTAAAGAAGAAGACACTATGTAACTTTTCAGCTCCACCACTGGCTCATTTGCGACGCTCTTGCTTTGCCTGGAATGTTCCACAGTATCATCATCATTTATCTCCATAGAGACAAGCAGGTGATGTGACCAGACTGTAGTATCTTACAGGCCATTTCTGTGGTGAGGAGACCATGCTCACAGTATTGGCTAAATGCTAGATAGATTATAAATGCTTAATGCCATACTGTGGAACATTCCAAGCAAAGCAATGACGTCTTCATGGAGACAAGCAGGTGGATCAGAGTTATTTTTTTAAATTCTTTATTTAACCAGGACTCAGTTTAGAACAGGTTCTCCTTTACAATGATGTCTCTTTGTGAGTCAGAAATAAATTCACTTTTCTTCACTCTTCTGTATATTGATGTGCGTGTTATTGTATAATCCCTACATTTAGTTTTAATTTGACGCCATGTCTTTCCATTGGTCCCACTCATTACAGTTACTAAAAGCCTTGTGTCCGGCCTAATTAGCCAAGAATGACCCAAGGCAGATCTCCATTTTTTACTCTCACAGGTCTGATGAGGGGGAAACAGGGATGGCCAAATGACGCTCATTTGTTTTGGTGATGAATCGGGAGAGGAAGTGCGATTGTCTGATTGTTTAAGCGGAGAATGGACTTGGTATTTGTCCAGTGAGTGAGTGCATATGTATGTTCAGGCATGTGTGGCCCCATTGTCATCCCACACAGCTCATTAAACCACAGCACAGAGCTTCATTTGAGATTCACACATAGAGTCATGCAGCCAACCTGACCATTGTTTGCACTGGGACAGCATTTCTTTGTCTGTGTGGAGAAATACCCCCTTTGTTACTTGTATTTTAATTTCTCTTTTTTTTTTTTCAGTTAGGTTTTTATCATTTTATAATTTCTTAATATAATTTTAGATTTGTCAACAGCTTTTACTTTTATGTGAAGATTGTAAAATTGTTTATTTAAAGATGCACCATGTAACTTTGTGGTGATGGGTCTACCTTGAATGTTCCACAGAACTGCATTAAACCTATCCTTCTCCATGAATACAAACAACTCATAGTTAAAATGCTTGGTTTTCAAGGTTTTCATTATATAGATAACTGGAGTGTAGCAATGAGAACAAATAAGTTATTTTGTGGGTCCTTGTGGTTCCTAATTCAAATTAAATTCTTATGTGTACAGATTCTACTTACAGTTTCATAATTAAATTAACCATAATTTAATTTATTTGTTAGATATTTTAATTTATTTGAATGCACAAGTGAAATCTCCCAAACCTCTTTCTATAGTGCATCATCAGTTTTCCATTCACACTACTGTACGTTTTTCATCAAAATGCCCATTCAAATTCATGCCTGTTCAAGGTTTAACCACTTCACTGTTAATAAAGCTTAAGTATGGCCTTGATCTAAAGCATTCAGTACAATGTGTCATAAAATTGTCTTTATAAAATCAGCCACTCAGTTAGCAGATGGGAAATGCATAAAAGTATGTAAAATGCCAGTATTCAAGGTAAAGTTTTTAATCATCTCACCTCAACTGCCCTCTTAACAGGTTTTCAAAAGAGCTTTGTAAAACGGCCTATTGAAGACTCCTCTTTAAGAAATCTTCAAGTAAAAGAACTAGTTAGCTCAAAGAGATATGATCAACAATAAAAAGAGAAAACTTTAAATATTATTTTTCTGTGAATAGTCAATTTTTACAGTCAAAGAAATTTTCATGTAGAGCTCCACAGTACAATTATTCAATCATGGACAATAGTACATTTTACTTGATTAGATATTGTATTAGCACAGGTCTAAGAAGTTCCTCAAACGTGTATTAAAGTCATCTGCTACCTCAAATTAATATGACCAGTTTTTAAGAGAAGTTTCTTCATTTTCTCACTCATTACCTCACTTAAAGTTGTAACTTTTCTGGTGGAGGGTCCGCCACCTGCATACTTGTTTCATGAAGATGTTTTTTGCTTTCCCTGGAATGTTCCTCAGTATGGCATTGCACTTATCTATCTCCATGTAGCAAGTGGCACTATCAGGCCAAGTTACGGGTCACATATGTTGATACGCGAGCCTGCTCACAGTAAGAAAGCATTCTTTAAATGAAATTAATGCAAGATAGATACATATAATACATATAGGCAAAGCAATAACAAACCTCCAACAGAAAAGTTACATGGTTCACCTTCAGTGGTTTGGCTATCATTATGCCAGATGCCCTGTCTGTCTTGCAAAACTACATGTTACGCTTGTGGAGGCTAGATGCAAAAGATAACTTCAATAATGGCGGGTAAACAAGCCGGCAGCGTGCGTAGGAAGGAGAGGAGAGTGAGATGAGAGGACGCTGCAGCAGACCAAGGTAATTAAAGAAGCCATCATCAGCATCATTAATATGCTAGATCTGCTGTGGCCCACTGACTGGTCTAATGGGGAACATGTCATCATCATCACCATTAGACAGAGACGCACAAACACACACATATGCACACACACAACCACACACTCACAACTACACACACACAACGACACACACACGCTTTTAATGTAGGGTCACGCCGCGATTATCACCATTAGGTCCAAAGGAGGAAGAGGACCTCATCTCCACGGGCACCATAGACATCCATGTACAGTGCAGTATAGATCTTTAATTCAGAGCCCAGTGAGTGATAAGTACGCATATTTAAGTGCTGTCAGGCCTGTTGAGTCTTTTAATTAGACAGAATGAATGAATGTTTTATGAAATCATGTTTAACAATAAATGTGTTCATTAATTTGATGAGGGGATGTGCTCTGATGGGCTGAGTGCAACAGCGTAATGGCTCATATCAGCTTTTCCACTCTGCTGATGATGTTTTTTAGACAAGACATTTATTTTATTTAGTTCTAGAGGTGGGAAGAGCAAGCTAAATGTTTGTCTATAAGCATGAGCAGCATTGCTTTCCATTGTGTATGTGAAGAAGTACTTTAACACAACTCAAAACTCTAAGTGTTGGTATTTGATATTATTTGAATGTTACTCAAGTAATAAAACAGAGTGTTGCATCCGATAAACCAGCCAAGTTAAAGAAATGTGAAGCAGTGCTGTGTGAGCGATACTGACAAAAAATAATATCTCAGATATTATCTGTTTGACAGTATTCAGATGCACTGTATACTTCATATTCTCATGTATCCAAAACAACAATTACAAGCAGTGTTATAGGTGTTATAACTCCTTAGAGTGCTTTTGCATATTGCATATGGATTTTTTGTGCCAGATGCCATTCCTGATGTGATCCTCTTCTCTTAATGGCCTCTGCAAAGTCTAGTCAGCATCATTAGAAAATGAGTCACAGATTATTATTTTTAGTGTTCCTGGCCTTGCCCCAAAAACTGAAAGTTGAATTATGCTTATCCTTTGACCTTGGTCTGTTTTAGTGAAACTGTACCGTTAATGTGCAATGTGAAGCCTGTCCGCTGCTCTGTGGAGAACAGAATAGATGGAAAATCCATTAACTGCTAAAGTCCTCAAAATCATTTTTCTCTCTGCAGGTAGGCCGCGTGGTATGTCATGAAAGTTCATTTAGATGTATAAGCTCTGAGAAAGCGCGCCAGTCTATTGTCGGTGAATATGGACCGCACATTTTCTGGCTTGCGTGATGGAATAATCAAAATGATCACTTTTGTCCCTGCTGCTGCTGAAACTATTCCAAATTTTTTACCAGCAGCTCAGTAATCAACTCCTAGGTCCGGCCGTATCACTAAACTCGGGTTTAAGTGCGTTCCCAAATGCGTTTTGTTGGCCCCTTTACCCCCCATCATCTGCTAAAATATTTGTGCTACAAAACCAATCTAAATGTTAAGCAGGTGTGCGTCTCCTCCTCCTCCCCCTCTGTGCGTCGTCCTTCTACCTTTCTTTCTGCAAATGTCCTGTTCTTGTCAGCGGCCCCGCCCCCTGTCTTCTGGCCCTCTCCCTCTCCCCTGACACCAGTGGAAACAGGCTGATGGGGTGTAATTTAGTCCTAATCACAACATCGGACTAGCACAGCGATTTACATGCAGCAGCCAGCGAGCCAGTCACACAGTCAGGAGGGACATGTTAATATGGGACCACAGGTAATTACTGTCATTACGCCCTGCCACAGATCCAGCCGCTGTGTGTACGTCCCTAAGTGCGCCCAGATGCATTGTGGGTGCAGCGTTTGATTGGTATGATTTCATTTTTGTGTATATAATTAATATTGGTGGTGTCTTTAATGTGTAGTTTGGGCCAGTTAATTTACAACGCTGGCTGCTTTGGAATGATGATTTGTATGTGGAAAACAGAAATGAATTCAACAAGGGATTCACCAAATGTATTTCATATTGACAAATATAATTACAATTGATGCTTTGACTCAGTTAAGGATTCAGAATTGAATGAGTTGCTTGATCTAATTTCTCATTCTCACAGTACTTCTTGATTGCTTTGTTTGTTCAAATGCGGACACTGCTCGCAAGAAATCCAATTAAAAGTGGACTTGCTATTTTAATTATTGATGATGTGTCAGTGGCTGGGTTCGATGCACATAAAAGTATTGCATAAAAACAAGTGATGTAAACAACAACCCAATTTTAAAACATTGTTGTAGATGCTTCAGGTGTAAACTGTCAATAAAATGGTCAAAATAAAAAGTTCACAAAATGAAATATACTTTATTTGACAAGGAAAATAAAACGATGGACTTTGTTGTCATCCTCTGGAGGACTTGACAGTTGTAAAAGGTGCATTAAGTAACCTTTGTGGTGGGGGTCCACAACCTGCTTTGAATGGAATGGTCCCCAGTATGTCAATAAATCTGCATCCTAATGGAGTCAAGCAGGTGACACCACTAGGCCAAATTACAGTTCAGATCTGTGTAGAGGCGACTCCACTCCCAGTGACAAGACATGATTTCCATACTGAGGATGCAGATGGTGGGGTGGATCCTTCACCAAAATAATTATTAATTTAACTTTTTATGTGGTCCATCCATCCATCCATTTTCGTCATGTGTCTTTTTACGTTTCTCACCATTTCAACATTTAGTAATGCTACCAAATGTATCTGTCCATACATTAAATGACTCTGATTTTGATAGCCAGCTAGCTCAGAAAGCGCTAACGCAGATGGTAGAAAAAACACTAACCACAAAAAGTACACAACGCAGTCCTTCATTTTCTCCCAATTTGGAAACTAAAATATGTTATTTTCACATTTCACTTTGGGATAACCGCTATGAACGGGCATTTAGGCTTGCCACATGAAGTTGGGGAGCTATAAATTTGTCAGTTGGGAAATTATCGCCAAAGTCACACTAGACATTAAATGCTACAGTGTATAAAGAGAGCCTATCTACCCAGTATTTAGCTCCAGATTCATATCAACATGAAATATATTGGCATATACAGTAGGCCGCATTCAAAGGTCACATGCACATAATTTATCGCACACAGCAGTTGATATTTTTTCATTTTAGGTTAATCACATGCCATTTTGGGACTCTTCAAATCACAGCTCACATATTGGAAACTTTTTTAAGCGGCTGCTCAAAGCTTTGTGGGGAGATGGTAAAAGTATATCAAGGTGTTGCCATGGCGATAAGAATAATGTGTCAGGGTCCTGAGAGTTGAGGCCCGGAAAGGTCCCAGTGATAAGACCCCGAATGTAAAAGTCAGCAGTTTGTCCGGTGCCTGCCCATCTCACTTTTCACAACACACACACCCCACAACTCTCAATCTGTACCTCTGCCTGCTACCAACCCCCATCTCTCCATCACCTACTGTGAGGTTTTGGTTTTCTCAAATGCATAGAGCTTTGCCAACCACTAGGGGGACCTCCAAAAGATGAACGTCCACTACTGACTATTACTCATTGCAAATTACTTCAGTATTTATTTTAAAATACAGTGTGTAAGAGGCATTTAAGAGGATAATATGTTTTATTGTATTTCTTGTATAAATAAATAAATAAATAAATATTGATTTATTAGTACTTTAGTCAAAATAATTTATAATTGTCATGCATGTGTAAATGTGTGTCTGAAAACACATGGTTTATACTTTTGACACAGTTAAGTTTAAGGTTAAGGTACACTTTATTATTCCTGAGGAAATGTGTTCATGTAGTCTGGTTTTGTTGTCTTGGTTTTTTGCTTGTGGATTAGTTAAAGGTGCAATGTGTAACTTCGGAAGGTTTTCTTAGGGTCTACCACTGTTCGCATCCATGTTGCTTTACCTAGAATGTTCCACAGCATGACATTAAACTTAACTATCTCCATGGAAACAAGCGGGTTACTACATCAGGTCAAGTTACATGCTACATGTCACATGTGTGAATGAAACAAAACACATCTCCAGGTACACTTTTAGGAGGTAAAACATTATAACATTATTTTGTAATATAACACTTAGATTTTCTAAACTTAGGGCTCCCAGGAAGCATACTGCACATAGCCCCAGATAAAGCTAGAACTGGTCCTGTCTCCATCTCTTCTCCTTATGCTCCTCCCATTTATCTATTTATACCCTGTCTGCAAAGGCCATCTCCTCCATCCTGCATTACTCTCAATTTACCTAATTTTGCCCCTGTATTATATGCTCTATTTATGACATTCATTTTCACCCTCACTTTGCTGCATATCGATCTGAACCACACTTATTCTGTTTTAACCTTTTTAGCTTTAGCACATCTATAACCAGCAGGGGACAGTGTGTAGGATGGACTTATACATCCATGTAAAATAAAATCAGAATCTAATACAAGAGTGTTTGTGCTTGCTTTTAAGTGGGAAGTTGTAGTTTGGAAAGACATACTTTTGCATTAATGTGGTGATCTTGTTTGTAGGTAGACTCGCTGCGATTGGAGCTAGACGCAGTGAGAGCCAACAATGAAAACCTGCGCAAAGAGAGCCAACTGGTGATGACGAATATAGACCAATGGATCACACAACAAAAGTAAGAAAATACATTTTAATTTGGTGATTTTTGTCAATTGTATCAACTGGCTTTGAGAGTAGACAACAGAAGTCTGATATGATGTTATTATTATTATTATTATAAGAATTTGAAGTGATTTATGGGTTTAATCAGAGGATGCCCTGACACATTGAACTTTTACAGTTCAGTGTATTTTTGTTACTGTGCTGTCTCACATGTACAGTTTCAGGGATAGAATATGCCGCTTGTTGTTGAGTCATAATGATAATAGTGATGACTGGTGGCTAAGAGACACAAATGTATGTCATCTTCATCATTCTTTTCCATAAACCAATTTTGTAATGAACCTTTTGTGTGTTTTGTGTTTGCCCTGTTCCTGTCAGAGCGGCCAATGAGAGCGTGTCTGCCCAGATGAAAGCCCAGAGCACTGTTCTTAGCATGGTCACTGAGGAGAAAGAGTGAGTATTGTCACTTCTGTCTTTGATGCATTGTAACTTTTGATCTTAACCAGGAAGCTGCAAATAGAATAGTTCACATAATTGATAGCAATTTAAACACATAACTTTTGCGACCTTGCATAGTTGTTTTGAAGTTTTATATAAGTCTTCCTGTGTCTTTGTTTGAAGAATCTATAGGGGCACTCTAGTCTATAATAACGTTGATGCATTATCACTCAGTCGTCTCTGTCCTTATCAAAGTACAAACTGTCTTCTGTCCTTCTGCTCTGTAGTGCCAAGCCTTTCTTTGCCCCACTCAGGGGCAGATAGTTATTAAGGACTTGAATATATTTACTTTGTTACCTAATAAAAGTATGTATGTACAAGTTAGACTGATGAGTCTTTTACAGGTATTATTGGTAGTACTGGTAATAGAAGCTTCTGGAATAGGAACATGGTAATGCGTGGGGTTGTATGGTATTTCTCAACATAAACATTATGTTAAAAACTAGCATCTCTGAATAGAATGCCTCCATAAACATGAAAGCATTACAAGAGCTGAATTAAATAATGCCTATTGTAAACAGCCATATATAGCAAATATAGACCTCGGTAATAGTAGCCTTGATGTATGTTTGCATGGGCAAGTTGCAGGGATAATGCTTGTGACTGTAGAGCTCATTGTTGAGATACATTTTGTACAACAGGCCTTGTTAACAAGAATGTTATGTAAAATGTTGCTCTGTGCCCCTTTTATTTCTGTATTTAACTGTGTCCCTGTGTCAGACATCTCCAGGAGGCCAACAGCGCACTCAAGGCAGAGCTACAGAGACTGAAAGGGAAGGCAGAGGAGAAGGAGAGGGAGCGCTTAAAGGTGCAAGTACAGCTACAGGTGAGAGAGGAATATAAATTTTTTTTACTATATAAACTATTACTATTTATATTATACACTACTATTTTACTACTGTAAGATACTACAACTGATACTACTGCTATTATTGCTCTAATACAACACCTACTGATACTGGACTTGTAATTCATGTATTTACTTTTATGTTTGCAGGGCCAGTTTGCAGAGCAGAGATGTTGTTGCCGCGACGACCGAACGTGAGTGATCTGGTGTGCCCACCCATACAAGCATGTACACTTCACCCCTCCAGCTGAACAGAGTTAAGCATTCAGATCTTAACAAAAGCGTTGGCCACCATGCTTCGCTCTTTCACACGCAATCTCGCCCGAACAAAGCTGATGATGATAATAACAGCGGGGAGTGCCAACTTGCGAATGAGACACCCCATGGGCCCAGCCACCTGTGTGTGCGCCCCCTTCACTGTGTATGTGCGTGTGTTGTGTTTCCTCGCCAATCTGAATATGTGATTCATGCTGGGCCTTTAACAATGATTACACTCCAATCAAGGGCCCATCCTCTTCTGCATTGCCTCCCCCATGGCTGTCAAATAGCATTCATCAATAGAGAGGAGATATATTTATTATGTTCATTAAGGCAATGAAAATGAATGTGGCACAGATGGGAATGGGTGTACGTAGGACTGGAGTGAGAAAGCAGAGAGACTGTTGGTGTGATGGGGCACCTGCCTCCAGCGTCGCACCCCTTATTTGACCCCCCGAGGTCCCCCCGCATTAACAACCCCACCCCCCCACCCCTCCCCTCCTCCGCACCTCGTCACATTTTACATACACACGCCCGTCCCAGGACCCCTCCCCTCTCAAACCACCCAGCTCTGTTTCCAAAACGCATCAGATTTGTTTTGACTAGCAAGGGCTTTCAATGCTATTCAAAGCTGTCAGTCATTTTAATGATATCATTAAGGGGCCGCGACAGAAAGATGAATCGCTTTTCTTTGTCTTTCCTTCATAATTGGGAATGAGCGAGAGAGAGGGAGAGAGAGAGTGTGGGACATAGCCAGGAAGGCAGTTCATATAGATGTATGCATAACAGGGTTTTTGATTGAGCGAATATAATAACACAGAATGAGATAAAAACAGTGAATGAAAGCTGCTTCAATAGTGCCTCCCCATCCGTTCTCCCATTGCTTTATTACCAGAATGCCTAATTTATTTCATTTCATTATTGCAACCTCCATGCCCTGCAAACACATCTACCCCAAAACGCCATATGTATGAAAATGATACATCCATATGGCGAAAGATATGTCATAAGATCTCATATACATCGAGTGAATAATCTCATTACTTGTGGCAAAAAGGATATCGCTAGTGTGTCTTTCCATTGCCACTATCACTGACAGCAATCAACACGGCACGCAGGTTCTGTCATTAGATGTGCCTTTATTAAAGAAATGTATTATCATTACTTGGCCTACTGTTCTGTGGCTGCCTGTGTCACGACTTTACATCACAGCAGTTATTATGTGTCAGTGAGAGCAACATAAAGGTTACAGAGAGGAAGAGGATGGAATGGGCCTGGTGTTCTCAGATGTGTATAAAAAGTAGGAAAGGCAAAGAAATATCATAAAGCTTTAGTTGAACAGTAGGTAGAGCATTCTTTGTCATGAAAGAGATCAGCATTGTGTAGCCCATAGAATTTTCAGTTAGCTTAATGTAAAACCAATGGAGATTTTAAGATGCTAAATACTAAACATAGTGTTCATTCAGAGTATTCCGACAAAGCAGAGTGATAACTGTATTTACCAGCAGTGACCCAACATTATATCAGATTGTTCCACTGCTCATTTGGTTACATTTTTACAGTGTTTTGGTGATTTGGCATATTTCTCCAGTAACATAAAGTTTTTGATGTTCAATCCTGAGCTTTAAACCAGGAACAGAAAATGCAGTACATATTACAAAAATCATCTGTTTTTCTTCCACCAAAGCAGAAACCATTGTTTTTGATAACATAAGACAATGTTAGTTTGTTTTTTAGCTAGATAACTAAAATCTGATGGTGGTATTTTTATATAATTAGTTACAAATTATTTGTTTTTGTAAATATAGAATTTAAAATTCATGGCCCACTGGTCTTAATCGAGATCTGCCTTTACTTTTTGTAATCTTCATACCAGTGGTAACCAAGCATCCTCTGAAACCATTAGTCATGCAACTAAAGTCATTTACAGGAACAAAAAATATACTTTTTCAAATCTACAAATGCTAAATTGTAGATCATTTTAAAACTCAAAACAACAACCTCTCACCACAAGCACCAAGTCTCTTCACTTTTTCTGCCAGACTCAACTAAACTAACCTTGGATTAAATCAAGTGATCAGCATGAACTCTCCCTACCTGAAAACACTGCTAATATTGTGAGGATTTGAAAACAAGTGGAGGAAGCTGAGATGAACGCCTGTTTTGCTGGCGGCACCAAACTGACGGGGTGACTGTCTGACACGAGCCATCTGGGGCTGCTCATTAGGCATTAGGCTTCATCAGTCGCACCACTAACGACGTGCCTCCAATTAAGAGCAGCCCGTGATCACAGCGGAGGATTTCTACAAACACACACACGCCGATGGAGATAAGAAAGAGCCAGCTGCGCGACGAGAGGCTCAAGTCTTGCATAAAATTTACAGCAAAACCAAAGCAATAAATAAGAAAGATGAGAGCGAGATCGGAGGGGAAAAGGGGGAAGCGCTGCGTAGTAGTAGTTTATTGCCTGGTTTAGAGAGCATGCCATCTTGGCTTTGACACTAACGACTGTAATTATCCACAGCCTGATTGGGTTAGCTGCTAATTACACGCATCCATGTTAGCGTGTAAACACAGAAACACATGTTTACACAGCGTCATGCCAGGCTCCCCTCGCCTCACCGCCTCCGAACTGAAAGAGCATAAATCGCAGTTGTCTCTGTAGCAGTGATGGCTCATGATGTTCCAAAGACCACATTACCAAAGTCTTTAAATCATGTCGGGAATCTTTTTTATGGACTTGAAGTTTTCTGTTTCCCCGCCTAAGGAAAACTCATAAGACTTCTGTGCATTTTTAATTTAAAAGATCAAAGGAAATTTCAGCATTTCTTCTTATTAATGTGCTTTGTGTCATTATTACAGTGTGAAATTAAAATATGTTAGAGGGGTCACTCGCAATTACGCTCAGTTTATGAATGTCATTTTAAGGAAATTAGGTTTCTTTTAAAATTACGTACATTGGCAGAGCTTATATTACTTTCTGGTAAATGCCTCTGGTTAGATGATGTTGTGTCAGCTGCTATGATTAATAATGCTCAGGTTGGGCTATTTTTCAAACTTGGCACAGTATTCAAACATTTACTTTGCTGTCTCACCTGAGCCAGGGGTTTTTATTCATATTGGCTTTGCTGAAAAAGAGCAAAGGATCACGGTCTATGTAGTTGACTTCCTTTCAGCTAAACAATGTAAGAACTTACCATGTGATTCTATAGTGGTTCATGATAATACTGGGAGAATTTAATTATATTTTATACTTTGTTATTATTTGACCTATCCTGTAATGCAAACCAGTCAGGAACAGAGGACAACTGCAGTACAGCGATGGTGCATCTCTAGATCTTAAGCTAGGCTTGCTTCGCTTCCAGCTGAAGCTTGCGGCCATTCCATGTGCATGTGTTCAGTTTAGATATGGACAAAATTGTCACATCTTTCACAAACTGGTTTTTGACCCCTGTGGCTGGATTAAACCACACCATGTTGCACTTAATACTGTTTTTGCATTAGCATTGAAGAGGAATCCCAAAAGAGACAATTTACTTTGCCGTTTGTTTTTTTGCCATACACCAACGCAGTCCTTTTATTTTATTGATATTGTCTCTTGGTTGAGGTTTCACAGTTAAAAACACGGGCTCTGTGTTGTGTCTCTAATGAGTCTCATAAAGTTTTCAGACTAAAATGTCAGTTTGCATATTAGCGTCTCCCTCAAGTGTCTGCTCACATCTTAAATGTTTTAAGTTGTGGCTAATAGGGCCCAAAGTCTTTGTATATTCATGCCTTCATTGTGCACATCTTCTCGATATGCAGGAACAATGATGCCATTTATTAGTGTTTTGATGAGCACTTGCGTCCTCTCAACTCATGCAAAACGAGGAGCGCCTTCCCTTTCGCCGCTCTGATAGAAAATCCCAGCTTGCTCTTTTACAAGAAAATTAACATTGGGGAGGTACTGCAGTACTTTAATGGGCTAAGAAGTCTTCAATAAAGTATTTAGAAGGTTTTTCCCCTCAATGCTAACTGGACAGGTTCAGTGGGGCATGAAAGAAAGAGCTCAAAGCGGGGGCAGCAGATCCTTAGCCCGTATAGAGCGCCATTATACAGCGTCGTTAATTTAATAGACATTCTTTAGTCAGCCCTGGCTCTGCAGATAGCGGACCTTAACGTTTGTTTGTCATTTCACAAAAGCATTTTTAATAAACAGTTAAAATCTTAAATGGCTTCTTGTACTCTTAATGTTTCCTGGCTGCGTTTGGTTTTGTTTTTTCGATATTATATGGTCTTTCATATCTAATTTAATGATTTCTGGAAGACATTTGCTAACCCATCTTTGAGTTCAATAATAACTTATTATGAAGGTGGTTATAATGAAAGCACGCGCCAACTTCTTTATGTTGTAGGTTTTTAAAGAGATGTGATGGCAACTCTTAAACTCAAAAATGCACTTCGCTGCAAAAAATGATCTCAGTGTGGATTGTAGCTAAAGAGTGGTGTTTTTTTTTTTACAGAACCGGTTTCAGGAACAACTATTTTGAACTATTACAATAATAATAAAAAGTTTGCCTAAATGCATGTTGTGTCATATGGAAATAAAGTTTGAAATATTATGTTATTTATGGCACACTGTTGAATCAAGATTGGAGATACTAAACTAAATTATTCGATTGAAGATGGCAAAAATACTGACGGTAGCCCATAGTTCATAGTTCATAGTAGTAAGCTGTTAATTACATGTCTTGTTTTTGTACAGAAATGTTAAATATCATAACTTCCAGCTTAAAACATGCACATTGTCTCATTTCATTTCTCATTTCAGAGTCGAACAAGAGACTTGCATTGCTTCAAATCTGTGCAAAATCGAGGAGATGCAGACCAGACTGCAAAACAACCTTGAGGCCGTCCAGAAGCTAAATCAACAAGTGAGCACACACACACGCACGCACACACACACACGCACACACACATTACAGGTATACAGCAGATAGTTAGATAAACAGACACAGGGTCCTGACAGTCCTTTCTACGCGGTGAACACAAACTCACACCCACGCACTAGCCCACCTGCTGCTGAGCTCGCACACTAGAGGCCCCCTTTCAAGCGGCCAACTTCAAAAGCACACGCACTCATACACAGGCATCCATTTCCTCTTCCGACGATGAAAGCTCCAAAAGCCGGGTTGGGGCATACTTTGGGCGCAGGGAGGGAGGGGCGTGAAATCATATCGGGACAAAGCGGTGACGTTCCTTTCCACTGGTAAATGATTTCCCTTTCAAGAAAGTAAAAGAGGGATGTATATCAATACCAGGAACGCTGATCTGTATGTGACAGCATAGGGAAATGGCCCGCTGTGATAAGACAATGTGAGGGAGGAAAGGAGGAAAAAACACAGAGGAATATTCGGGAAGGAAAAAGCTGACATTTTTTTAACTTCACAAGAGTCAACAAATCACCAAAGGAGAGCGAAATCAAAAAAGTACTCGGCAGCCGCTCTCAGTTCTCCAAAACTACAGAGTCTGGGGAACGGCTCGCCTGACTTTTTTGTAAAGAGTAGCCCGCTGATTGACGCGTGGTGAGGAAGTACTTGTTGAAGTTTTCATATGTGTTCCAGTGAGAAGAGGTTTGAATGAGGAAGATACGAGAGGTGTTGCACAGGTCAGAAGTGGAATGGTATCTCTAATATTCACCATGTAAATGTATAAAGCACTGTAGAAATATAGAAATAGGCCTGATAATTACTATATCGATTTATTGTTCGATATTTGAAAGTTCCTTTGCACTACTGGCAAATGTTTGGTTATTTTCTGGCTATATGATAAGATTAATGGCGTGAAAGGCTAAATTAATAACTTATGACTCATTACAGATGCAGACTAAATACTAAAGTGTTTCATTTGCCATTTATTTATTGCAGCTCATGTTTTTTTAGCAATATTGTACATTTAGAATATTTTTTTGTGGTTTAAATCTGCCCTTGGGTTTTTCTGTCAGTGGGATAAATTAGTTTCAATATAAATTAGTGGGATAAATTGGTTTCATTATACGGCCAAATAAACTTTTGTCCAGTTGACAAATTGAATTTCTCCTCATCAATATTATTTTTATCATCTATATTTACTTCAGCAATATATCACACTTTTCAAATTTTGTTATCATGACAGGCCTATGTAGAAAGTTATTTACTGATAGGATTTCAGCAAATGTCTTTAATACAAGCAATAATAATGATTGGGTGGCCATGATTCATAGTGAATGTATTGGAAGCACACATCTTCAGGTCAGTCAGCAGTCCATTTTTAAAGTCCTGGGCTTGTACTGGTTCAACCCAGGTTCTGCCTTTAGTCATCTATTATTCTATGTATTTATTTTTCATTTTAATCATGACATTAAACCCAGTTGTTGCACATTTGCTAGACCTATTGATTCAGCTTGGACAGGCAACAGTTCATTTACACCAAACAGTTTCCTTCAGTGTCCACCAGAGGCACATTCAGATATCAAGATGCTAAATGGATTGTCTGCATTTATCTGAGAGCAGTGCCACAGTATAAATCACCTCTGTGTCTGTGCTTCAGATCAGTCTCATTCAGTCAAACTCAAACCATTTTAGGTCCTCTATTCTCCAGGTGTGATGCATTTTCTCACAACCAAAATGATGCGCAATATACATTAAAGATGCATTGTGTGGGGGGGGCTGCTATACCTGCTTGTCTCTGGGGTATTATTGCTTTGCCCAGAATTTTCCACTTCTTTACAGTTGCAGTTGGTGTTTCATTGGAAAAAAATTGAAAAAGAAAAAATTAATTATTACTGAGAGCGGGCTTGCCCTTCCACAGATCTGATTTTTAAATTGACCTACTGGCTCCACGTCCTTGTGTTCATGGAGATATTTAAGTTTAATACCATATTGTGTAAGATGATAGGAAAAACAGATGTAGGCATACACTCCATTAGAAAGTGTAAATGTAGTGCACCTTTACGGGGCCCATGTTACTCTATTTTCTGATATACTGTATGTTACAATGTTGTTTCCTCATCAAAAACGAACTTGGTAATTGTTTTGTTTCATTCACACACATTAACACACAAATCCTGCATATGTAGGCCGTGGTCTTCTCTCAAACCAAAAACACTCTGATCCACCTTGCGATGTCATTTGGCCAATTTCTACTGAACAGAAGATTAAAAGGTTGCTGTTAACTTGAAAACATCTGCTTCATGACAAGGTGGAACAGAGCATTATGAGCTTTGGAAATGTAAACAGACTAATAATAAAGGGTTACTCCTGTGTGAATGAAACAAAACAAAACTCCAGGTATTGTATGTTTCTGATAAAGTAACAACGTTCCAACATGACTAAAAGCTCACAAGAGTATTTTTTGTAATATAGGATCTTTAAATACAAGAAACAAAAAAATTATAATCACAAAAATACACGTTATTCCATGTGAAAATGAATAATCATTTTCAGTCATCACAACCATACTCATACAGTGAAATCTGAAGCAAATACAATCTTTCAGTTAACTGTGGTATAGAGATTGCACTAATTCTGTACATTAAAGTTTCCTAACATGATGCACCAACTTTGCTCTTAAACTTCAACTGAGTTACCCCATCCGCGTTCATGATTTGTTAAAATGGAAAACACGTCTTTACAAATTAACGAAACGGCAACATGCAACATCAAAGCGCCTCCTTTTCTGAGCGCTTCTGTCTGTCTTACCCCTTTCTTCCCCTCCCTCTCTCCTCCTCCTCCTCCTCCTCCTCCTCTTTCCCCTGTACACATCCTTTTCATCCCGACATATGCACACCACCAGTCCACCATGTGAAAGCTGAGGAGACAAGCTGCGATTTTTAATTCACCCCCCTTCCCTTCCTTCATTTCTTCTCCTTTTTCGCAATTAATAACACGTCCAGAGCGGTAGCCAAATGGACAAGCAGAATTAAACAGGTCTGCGTGGATATACAGTTAATTATAAATGTCATCTTCACTGTTTTTCATGTGGAAATTTTAATTCTTTTAAACGAAGCCAGTCGGAGATACCCCCTAAGCGTCTTAAGATGTTTTTTGACACATGTCGCCGTTATGTCAGGGTTTAAGCTATGCTATTTTGAGTCATCAGATGCAATACATTTGGGAAGATTTATTGAACATGTGGGAAATAGTAGCTCCGGAAGCATTTTACTCCCTCTCTTCCTCTCTCGCTTTCTCTTTTTTACTCCCTCTCTGTGTCTCTTTCCTTTTCTCACATTTTTTCTCTCTCTGTCTCTCTCTTTCCCTCTTTCTCACCCTCACATACACAATATTCCACGTCAAAAAGAATTCTCTCTCTTTCTCTCTCTCCATCTGTTTTTCGCTCTCTGTCTCGCTCTCTTTCTTTCTCTCTCCTTTTCTCTCTCTCTCTCTTGTCAAATCCGCACAGACGACCAGACATGTTCGCGTGACATCATCCTTTAACCGCAGACAAACATGTAGAAAAACAGATGTTGAGGAGCGCAACTGTCATCACACCGCCTTTAATTTCTTATTTTACTTCCACTTATGGCTAAAAATACATTATTACCACCTTTTATCTACCGTATTACAATTTTTAGACTTGGCACATTTTGCATATAATTACCACCTCGCTACAACAAATGCTTTTAGTATTTTTTTCACCGCTGTTTTACCCAAATGTCCTTGTCAAAATATAAAACACCCTTAATTTAGTCGCTCTGTAATTGTGTTTTTAGTGGGGCTCCAATCATGTTCTGACAATGGCGGATTTGTTTTGTGTCACGCATGATTTTGTGTCAAATCGACCTCTAATGATAGCCCAAAATTGGTTGTTTTCATGTCGAAATTTACACCATTGCATGACTCCCACTTGTGACCGTTTCAAACTGTGAGCACAACACTATCCCAGGAAAAAAATGCTTCTTGCAATTTCCTCCCCATTCATATTTGTGTTTCAAGAGGCATGAAAGCAGCTGTGAATGATGAATTAAGCATTTAATCGAATGCCGGGTTGCTTCATCAACGCGATAGCCGCTTGATATTTATTCATAGCTTCAAATTAAGTTTTGTAATTTGGTTGATTAAACTAAATAAATATGATGTTTGAAACTTTTCTCATTTCTTGATTTTCACTGTCATGCTTCAATGCAACCCCAATTCACGTTGGGACACTGTAAATAAAAGTGGATGTAATGATCTGCAAATCTCATAAAGTCATATTTTATACACAATAGAACATAAGCAGCATAACAGGAACTCAGATATTTCAACATTTGATGAAAACTTGGGGCTCATTTGTATGTGTAACGTGGGGAATAAACATATTTTCCATTATAAGTGTGGATTCTATTTGAAATTAAAGGCACGCTATGCAACTGTTCTACCTCATGTTTGTTTCCATAGAGATATAACTGCTTTGTTCCACAGTATAGCATTAAACTTAATCTCAAATCAGCCCAAATTGCTAGTGACATCTATGGAAAGGCGACCCCATCCATTGTATAACATCTGTAACTGATTAAATCTAATATAGAAACATTTAACACCAAAACTGCGAACCATCTCAGGCAAAGCAAAAATATCTCCATAGAAACACTTACACACTGTAAAACTTGGCGGGTCCAAGCACCAGAAAAGTTGCATTTGCATCTTTAAATTATTTATAAAACACAGGACAATGCACCTGGAGGAAGATTTGCCATTTTGTGGAATATTCCAAGTAAAACTACATCAATGGAGAGTAGAAAGTTTCGGACCCTCCACCTGAAAACTTACATAGTGTCTCTTTAATCTTATAGAGACTGGTTTGAAAAGCATGTTTGTTTATTTGAATTCAAAAGGTTGGAAAAATCTGATTGAAGTTTTCTCTTCTGCCTTCATATATATTCTCTTCCTACAGTTAAATATTCTGGGCCGGGAGAACAGGCATTTGCATAGGACACTGCAGGAGGAGAGGTCTCTGAGAAGACAAGGGGAACGCATTTCTTCAACCTCCCACAAGACCTCCTCCACCCAACCACTTCCTGCCTTCTCCTCCCTCCACTCCACTCCTCCCGAGACCAGCGCACCAGACAGGTTTCCGACTCAATTCAAAGATGGGGCATTCACGTTGGATAGGCCAGCCGGGTCGCAGGTTTTGGGTAAAACGCGCTACATGAAGCCCACTCAGAAGCGCCAGACTTCGCTTAAAGAAGAGCGATGGAGAGAGAGTGTGAATGTGATCAAATGAAAGGCCCCTGAAGAGTTTGACCTCCTGTGACCCCGGTGACCCCCATGTCTCACTAGGGAGTCCACGCACTATAAGGTTAATGTCCTGCAGGTCAATGTCACGTCCCACTGTGGATTTAGCCTAAGGGGGAGCTCCACTTTGAGTGCATGAAGGAATTTTCTTAAATCATCAAAAAAGGAGAAAAAAAATCTTCTAAAACTTCAGTTATCCCGGACTGTGAAGCAATTTTTCTAAAGCACTTAAACACTGATAGACTTGGAACAGCGGGCCCATTGTTTTAAGTACTGTGATAAATTACTGTTGATTATAATGTATGACACAAATGAAGTAATTGCAGGAAGTGACTAATGCTGATGACTGTCTTACTGTGAACAGATTAGCACTGGCACATAGATCCATGTGTTGGTGTAATGAGTGGAGAAAACAGCTGCTTCCCATGTGCCTAGAATTAGCTGTATGGCTACATATGTGGGTGTATTGTGTAGCTTGAAATCTGCTGGGGAAGTACTTAGTTAGTACTTACTTATTTTAATTGTAAATTATACTAAATGTTAAATTATTGTAAATGACACTAACATAATTTTGAACTAACTGGATGTATAGATTGCATTAAAGCAAGAAAACAGCCTAGTTTTCTTCCATTATTGTTTGAAGTTTTAAGTGTTGAGGACCCTGTATGGCATAAAAAAAAAAAAAAATTCTATCTTGCATTTATTCAATTACTGTGTGTTCATTGGTAAATTCACAAATACCTTGAAAAATATGCATTCTTGCTCTGACCTATAACTTTGGCTGGAGGCACCGCCTGCTTGTCTCCATGGAGATACTGTGGATTATACTAGGCAAAGCAATAATATCTCCATGGAGAAAAGCAGGTGGAAAACCCTACCAGAAAAGTTACGTAGTATAGTTAGTTGTAAGTCCATTCGTTTGCTGCTGATTTTGAGCTTGTCTGTTTGTTTTTGAACACTAAAAGTACAGCACTCTGAGAGCATCAATCAGCATTTTCAATATTGTACTTGTAAGTTTGAGGTATTCAAAATATATCTTTTTAGACCTCATCGCCGGCTATAGTGTCTCTTTTAACGCTTGATGAAGAGCACTGGTGCAAAGGCCAGTGAAGATAGCACAGACTTAAACCTAAAGATCCTTATTCCACTCTGATAATGAGAGTTGCGGTGAAAGCAGGTCTCAGGCCACAATTGGCTTCCTCCTCATCCTCGCTCCACCTGTCCCCCGCACCCCCACCTGTCTTTGAATACAAAACCCACTTTTTATCCTCCGCTGCCTCTGTATATATACATACCAGTCGTATAGTCGGTCACGTACGTTTTAATGATTTTGAGCCCAACTGCATGTCCTTGTTAGCTTAGTTTTCCTCATTTGCCGTGTCAGACTCAAAAAAATACCATTCTTTTTATGTGAAATCCCACTCACACTCTCACACACACAATTGTACATTTATATTCCTCCACAAATACACACACACGCGCACAGTCATTAAAAACGAAACCACAGGCTTTTTGAAAACTCCCAGGACTGAGGGAAAAGTCAGCGGCGCGGTGGTGAAAAGAGTCCCCCTGGAAACAATGAGGAGAATGATCATTTGTTGTTCTTGAAAACCCGGTGAGGTTTCACAGAGGTTAAGCTTCCCTTTGATGTGTTTTTAACTCGTTTCAGCTCTTGCGGAGGGATTAGTCAACCGCGCACAAACACACATAAGCACCTAGCGACTCTTAATTTCCACACCATGCAGCTATTCTCCACACAAAGGCGGAATAAGCAAAGAATACCAGGCGCCTTCCCCATAACCTAATTTCATCAAATGAGCATGTGTGTGGTAGTTTGCCCATGTGTGGTCCTTTGGAAAGCTGTGGTAAACCAGCGGAATATTGCCACTCAGTATTTTCCTTTTTATCCCAAATTATGGATAGAGACAAACTGTGTTTACCAGCCAGGATTTGAACTTGATTTTCACATACAAATAATTGGGTTGCTTGTATTGTTTCCTGGCTGCTATGTTGGTCTAATGTTTAGTCGGGTTACTATAAATGCTCAGATTTGTAGTAGCTGGGACACAAAAGAAATTTCATTGGATTTTTTTGCAGAATTCAAAGCTGAAAATATCATAAAAAGTACATGTGATTCTTAGCTCACAGAGTTATATTTTTAAAAAGTGGGTTTACTTTAGTGCCTTCAGGCTGTTGCTATATTGTTTCCTATTCAGAAATAAGTAGGTATTTGAAATATTTTATTCATATTGCAATTCAGCTTTTAAATTTCAATTCTATGTGATAAGGTAGCTATAATGTCTTTTTATTGGGTGCTGTGCTTATTGACCTCAGAGCTCATCTTTGTTCAGAGCTGCTTGGCTATGTGTTGTATGTTTGGTTGTCTAATACATGCTTTTTTTACTGCTCATTTTTAACATCCTCTGAGGGTGAATCAACTGAAAGTAATCAATAAATAAATGTAACTATGAATGATTTACTCAACTGGCACAACTTTAGTTTGAAGGCAGTACTACGCCTAAAACTACTTTTACTATTAAGAAACTACTAATGACTACAGTACTATGTGTTCAGTTACTACTAATCATCATCATTACACCTCATTTTGAGTATTTTGCCTTCACAGCCCTTAATCTTATAACCCTACACCGCAAACATAGATTTAATAGCACAACTGTCCTTTTTTGTGTAGTTTGAAAATAATTTACTGTTTCCTCCTTTGGCCTTCAATCATTGTGCAAAGATATTGACTCTGGCCTCTCATTCTTTCACTTCACCACTTTGCCTCAGAACAGAACACACACACACAAGGCCTGCATACTCTGACAGCCCTACACACTGTATATGCAACACCTCGAATGGCTCCTTTGTCACTTAAATAAAAGCTTTACCTTGGTCCAGCCCGAGTTTCCAATGACTTTTAGTGGCAGAGGCAGATCTGTCAAAGCACGACTGAAAATGACAGGACAGGCGAGGCGGGTGCAGAGGAAACACAAGTGACAGGCGCTGGCAGTGTGTCACCTTTCAAAGTTAGGTCACTGTAAAAAACGACAGGTATTCACAATGTTGCGGTTTCTGAAAGACATTTTGTTATAGGCTTACTTTTTATAGTGCGTAAGGCTACTGTATGAACAGGGCTGACATTAAGATTGTGGAGTTAAATTTAAGCTAGAAGATTGATTTTCAGAATAACAAAATGTCACAGTGGGAGCACTCATTCCCCCACGCATTCTTCTACACAATGGGTGAAATATATTGTGTAATGTAGCTTATATCATTATACAAGAAACATATCCTAAATGTGCCTTTACTCATGTGTTGAATCCATAGTGCGCTTTCTTCTCTGTAATTTATATATAGAATGTATAAGCTGCAACCTAAAGTGTTAAGCAAAACATATTTATCATTAGGGTATGACAGTAAGTATAATGGCCTTTTGTTGTAGGGAAACACTGTTCTAAAGTTATATGCATTTATGAGTTTAAAGTGCATAGGCAAGATTGGACTTCTCATTTCAGTAAAACGTATAGTCAAAATAATAATTATAAAATAATAATATTTTAAATAATGATAATTACAAGAATTTTGCTTCCCTAACTAGCTTTCTCTAGTTTTGCAAATTTGGTGAAGTTTACTGTATAATTTTGCTTCCTGGTTGGACATGGACAGCAGAAGTAACATGTGTAATTTCATAGCCAGTTTGTAATCTTCAAAGGGCCAAAGACTGTCTACTTTACACAAGTTATTATTTGGCAAATAAAAATATAGACTTCAAACCTTTATAATGTTGCTTTTTATATCTTGTAATATATTGGATAGTGTATTGATTACATCCAGAACTCGTAATTGCTACCTTTTGATTTTTTTAAAGTTTTTCCTCAACATTTCTTACAAAACTGCCTATTGACTAAAGCAAAACTATGATAAATATTTACCACACATATTATCCCACCAAACAAAGTAATAATGAAAAAAAATATATATATGTATTTGCGCTTTAAGAAAAAGTGGTAGCAGTCCCCAATCAATCCCCAAGTCTGAATGTCCAAGTTACTGAAGGCTTTCATACATTGATTTCTTTCTAATTATCAAAAACATGCACAGAATTGGTGAATGAATTGTGCCCTTACTAGACTAGCGTATGTATGTGAGAGTGAATGGTTGTCTAAGTCAGGCCTGCTACTTGCTTCTTTACATTAATGAGCTGTAATATTCACTTCTATCTCTATTTTAGTGCATGATTCATAATTGACAACCATATCAATATTGTCAACATATGGCTATGCTAAAAATCTATATTCATGAATACATGCCGATGGTAATATACATTTATATTCCATTTACACAACTGTTTTTGCCAATAACTAGCTTTGCGTTCTCAGTGCAAGTGCTATTTAGTCATACAGAGCATTTAAGAGCCTAAACTCAAATGTGGTTTTCTATATTTACATGTTACTTATGTATTTCTCATAATGCTTTAATGTCCCTATATCGTACAGCCAGTGTGCGTGTACTAGGAGCGCAGTTATTGATAGTGTAAAATGTTACGCCTAAGTGTAGGAGAAGAAAAGTGGAGGAGAGTCAACCTCGGAGGGATCTCATAAAAATAGGTAGGACAGTGCTGGTGATAAGTGGGCATGTGGGCACTGTTTGCCTTCAAGGTTTTCTGCCTTTTCAGAGTAAAAGGCTCTAGTCGTGACTTGGTAAAACATTTTCTTAACCCAAAACTTAATCTTTTTCTAAACTTAGCAAGTGGTTTTAGTGCCTTATCCAGATGAAATTCCATCAAGAAACTTTAAGTGATATACTCTACAGGTGAAGACTTTTTGAATTGTGAGATTTTTCAACAGTTTGCCCTATAAATGTAAAAGCCTTCATTCTAAAATAAACAGACTGTATTTCCTTTTACAATATTTACTCGACGTGCAGGAATAGATTGAAAAAATATTCTCAAAATGAATTTCTCACCTCCAAATACCACCATCAATACAAACACCATATTTTCAACTTTTACACTTTATACTATATACTGTAAAATTTGGCTCACTTATAGACTGTATATATAAATACCTAACCCACTAACCAATACATTCCAAATAGGAAATGACAATGGGGTGCTTCCAGCTCCATCAACTCTGGCTTCAGTTCACTTTACATTGAAATACTCTTTAACTGTTGCCACGAGCCTCGTCATTTTGATCTTAAAATGTTTGTATTAACCCTGTACATGAAGCTGGTGTTTTTATTTCACTATTTTGTCCGTAAATAAATTCATATTCCTAAAATGGAACTTGGCTCCAAATGCCCTCTTATAACTGCCAGCCTCATGAACTTCATTTGACTGGACTTTTGACTTTTTAAAAATATTTGTTCAGTATTTTCACATGTTCTACTGACAATTTATATTTATTTGATTTCCCTTAAATATTCTTAACTGTGTAACAGAAAGTTTCACAATATCACAATAACTTTTAAATGTTTTCGAAGTCACCTGCAGAGTCTCGTCTTAAAATAAAATCAGAAATAACAACTTGTAGTTTGACCC